TGTTCCCTCAGTCGCTACACCATAACATCCACCAAGATGTCTTTCCTTTCACCTAGTCTACCTACTTGAGCATTAAAGTCACCAGCCATTATTACTATATCAGAGCGCCTAGCTTTTTGGAGGAGATCGAAAGCATTCTGTAAAACTCATCTTTAACCTCGTCTGCACTGCAGTCAGTGGGGGCATAGGCAGATATGACGAAGAGGCAACAGCGAGTGTCCCTATCCTTACGAGTCCTTACTGTCCCATTTAGTCGGACAGCGCACAAACGACTATCTACTGGGATCCAGTCAAGGAGAGATAATTCTGCCCTAGGACTCAACGCTATGCCTACGCCAGCAAGACCCCTGGAAGCAGCATCAGGGCTACCGGATACACGAAGAGTGAATCGGGCTGCTTCTTCGTTTTGACAAGGTGGAATCAGGTTAATGACTTTACTAGGATCCTGTATGCGCGTTTCCGAGACGCAGCATACATCGATGGCACGAGATTCTAAAGTCCTAGTTAATGATGCCTGTTGCCCTATTTGACACAATGTCCGTACATTAAAAACTCCAACATGTAGTCTAGAACGGGGTTTCAAGAGACCAGGAACGACGTTTCGTGATCTCGCTTCATCTACATTAGCGGTGCAGTGAGAAAAGGGAGTGTGAGTAGAGTTAGTCGTAGAGATAAGAGAGGTATTAGGGGGTGTAGGAAGGATTTGATTTTGACCAATTTGGTCTCGCGTGCTGTTACGTGTATGAGGGCGGTTGTCACTTCCCGGCTGCCCACACCGTGGAAGGTTGTTTCTTGAGGGACCTGTAAAGGAAGATAGATTAGCGTGACCGCAGAGCCCAACGGACAACTGCTTGAGGCCGGTCACGCACGGCCTTTTTATGAAAGGTATTTAGAGGATTAGCTCAGTTCTTAAAGGCCCTTAGTGGGCACCCTTACCCAAGGAGACGGAAATCCGTGAGGTAGGGGAGGTGTGACATTTTTAGGGCCGACCTTTTCTAACCCTTCCTTCCTTGTCAGAAGGCAGCATCGCTGCAGATGCTGGTTGTCCGAGGGAAACACCTTACTGCTGTCACACCTCTCTGCAGTCAGCAGTACGACTTCGCCCTCAGACCTTGAGTAGCTGCTTTTAGTCTCATCGTTCTCCAATCGACCTGCCTGGCATGGTAGGACCTGCAGGAACATATGTTCCAGCCAGTATAGCTCGGTTGGGTCATCACGATAGGCAAGCCCGACCACCACGTCAATGTAGCAGCTTCGGTCGGGATGAGTAAGGCACTATGTGAAACTGGTTCGATCTGGAAACGTATCAGTTAATGTATACTGTAAATATGTAAACAATTATGACACTACGGTAGTTCTTGAAGTAGTTCTTGAACAACATCAACTTTAAATCTCCACTGAGTTAGTATAGTTCGTAATCTATTAAGTACAATTTAATTAACTTCTAAATCCGCAAAAGATAACTTTATAAGGCCCATAATTAAAAAGAAATTTAAGAATAATATTAGTCAAACACAAATATATAAAATAGAATTTATGCGATGAATTCCATGAACTATAACATGTGAGATATTCACAAAATATAATATTGTCAAGAGGAATAAACTAATAAAATAAAATTTCAATAAACAAAACTTGATTTTTACCTCTAACCAACTTGGTTTAGTATTTTCAGAATCGGAAACACATAAATGTTCATCAGATATACGACGAGTAAAACGTGATGATGAGAGATCGATTCGAGCTTTAGATATTTTTCCATTAAATAATGTAAGATCTTTGATATCTGATAAGGTGAAACGTCGAGTGGTTTTGAAACCTATCATTTTACCTGAAATCTGAAAATAAATATTTATTACGTTGATATTACGTAGGCTGAAATTTTCCCAACACAAAAAAAAAATTGTTATCGTCCAAAAACGAGTTCACATGTATCGAGTAAGCAAAAGAAACAATATTAATTTTTATGTTTTAAATTTAAACGCAATACATTCACTACAAATAAATCCTTCCATTGTCCCCGGAAAAAATCAATTTGGTACAATAGATTTTCAGTTAGACACGTGCTTAAACTAAAGTATAATAGAGTGCGTTTAAGATCCATGAAATAAGAGTTGAATATTTTAATTACACTAGCGAATTTCGGCACCGGAAATTCGACTTCGGAATTGTTTTAGTAATCAAACATTTGACTTTGAGATGACTGTCTAATTGACTATACTGATTTAGTACATCAAAGGAGAAAACAATGCTGAAAAATCGATAAACTACCTTGATAGAGAAAATAAAATTAAATATTTGAAAGATTCTGTGTAATTTTTTTAATAAATTGATGGTCATTTGAGATTTTAGTGAGGAAGATAGCAGGACTGATCCGTAAATAACAACCCGAACTTTTGAAATTCTCTCCAATCTTGATTACTAGAAAAAACTTTCACTGACAACATTTTTTTCACATCTAATTTTATTCGGAGAAACGCTTTAAAAGAAACATCATTAAAGTGAGTTTCAGTGTATAACACATAAACGAAGCTTTATCTTCAGGTTAAATAACCTGACTAAAAAATGTAGACAAGCAATATGATGAGGAATTTTAAACTAATCACATATGTCTGGAATTAGAAAAATGTTGTGGAGTTTCGTTCTCTGAGCTAGATGTTTTGTTCGTGGAGCTATCATTGTTCTCCTGAACAATAATACTTCAGATAGACGTTTTTGCTGATGATGTTGTTCAGAAGAACAATGAAAGCTCCACAACCAAGACATCTAGTCCAGAGAACGAAACTCCACCACAATCATCCATCTGAGTTACGAATTTTCTCCACCATCTCATTTAAAAAAAAGATGTATTAAATCTAAAAACATACATAAATAACTACAAGAAGTAGCTGAACGATATAAATGATGATTAATAATAATAGTAGTCAGATATAATTATTGAAGAAATAATATCAACTTAATAGATTGGATATATGAATTGAATGTGACAATTAAAATAACATACTGCTTTTATAGCTGAACTATTGCCTTGAACCATACTTGCAACACGTCTGGTTTGACGTGACTTTAACCACACTAATTTTGGTATAGGTGTTTGTGTACCAACGGCAGATTTACCAGTTTTAGAAGTTCTACTTGATCCACGCCAAAGACTAGTCCACAAACTGTTAAGTATGTTCAGTGATGGATTGTCATTTGCTTTCATAGAGGTTTGACAAAAAGACCTTAAAAATTCACATCGTTCATGAGGACGTAATGGTAAAAGCCATTTCTTCAGAGAAAGAATGACATCTTTTGCAAGAAATTCAGTAGTATCTTTCATTTTATCATGTAGATCCGATGAAAACTGGAAATTAAAAGAAAAAATACTAAATATAAGATTTGTATTATGTAATCAAAATATATTTATATAGTCAACAACAAAACTATGTTGCAAAGCAGTTATGGATTTTTGGCTTGTTAGTGGCAAAAAGACTTTCTTTTAATAAAAGTAAGGTATAAATAACTTCACGTTAACTTTTTCAACAAATATAATAAAGAAACGATTGACAATGGAAGCATGAAAGCTAAGTTTATCCTTTGACAACCTATACCATGTTACAAAGAACCAAGGCATCAACCATAACCGACTTTGGAATGACACAAATCTTCATTAAACGTATCAACTCCAAAAGTGCATGTCATTCAGAGTAACGTTAAATAGTTTGAACCTCTATAGTACTGATCTATATCCAGTTGCCTACTGAAATACAGTTTCTAGCATATCGATTACTGATGGTAAATTATTATCCCATCTACTAGACCTTTGTGAAGTGATTATCAAGAAAATGAGTGATATAAAATCTAACCTTAAAGACCCAGTTCCAAAATTAACCCTACGATGTGTATATTATAACTCTCATGTTGATTACCAAATGCTGCGTTAATGTACAAAGTAAGTAACCAAAAAATCTCAAAAGTGTTAGACAATTAAACCCTTCTTCTTAAACGTAATTATGTATAAGATTGGACTTTAATAAACCGTAACTAAAATGAGAGCTTGTTTAGAGAAGTATTTTAAAGAAAATTTGATGAGTAGTTTTATCTTCAAAATGCTTCGTATATGTAGTCTGGTTATCATTCTCGCTTGACCGAAATAGTGTCACTTTTGATCAGATGCATATTGACTGACAACCTGCAAGATAAAAAAATAATAGCCTCTTCAACAAGGCATTAAGCATTCATATCGATATGGTTGAGAAATGTATTATGGCATTCTAAAACAGTGTTGCAAAAACCCCGTAGATATATCCGGTTAGATAATACATGAAGAGTTACCAATCAATAATTCCAATAACTGATTCTAGCGGTTAATCCATCCTTCTGGACTTTTTTATACGGTAATTTGGCGGATACATACTAGACTATCAACAAGTTATTGTTTTGACAATGTGCAGCATGGTGGGTGAGTTTGCCTATCGTGATGGCCCAACCAATGCAAGGCAGGTCGATTGAACAACGGTAAGACTAAAAGCAGCAACTTAAGGTCCAACGACGAAGTCGCACTAGTAATTGTAGAGGTATAACAACACTGTCGGGTGTTTCCCTCGGACAACAAGCATCTGAAGCGATTCTGCCTATTCACAAAAGAATGATGGGGTTAGGAAAGGCCGATTCTAAAGATACCACACCTCACCTTACCCAATGAACTTCCATCTTCGACATTATTGACTTGTGAGAAGCTGACACATCAAAAACTTCCCATAAGAAACCCATGTGTGACTGGCTTCAAGTAACGATCCCTTGAGATATTTGATTACCAACACCGAAGTCAGAATTTTCAATACAAATGTCAAGACATTTCTACTGTATGCAGAGGAAACTTGGAGAACTACCGAAGCCATTATCCAGAAGATAAAAATGTTCATTAACAGTTGTCTACGCAGAATAAGTCGGATACGTTGGCCAGATACCAACAGCAACAACATTGCCTTGTCAAAATAAAGAACCCGTTTGGTTCATCTTTCGTGTACCTAAAGATTACGCTGCTACTAACTGTGGTCTCACTGGTTTAGGTATTGTACTACCTTTAAAAGTAGAACCGGCTCTCCTGTATTAGAATACAATAGACAATAGCTTGTGTGCTATCCGATTAAACAGAATAGCGGGAATTCGGAAAGACAATGACATACATCACTGCCTTCTTGTTGTCTCTGTCTACGCTCGCACTGATAGAAGCTCAGATGAAGTAAAAGATGAATTTCACAGAAAGCCTCCCCAATATCAAAAACCTAAACGCACTGATGTAGTAAAAGCGCCTCGTGCTTTTAATACCCAAATAGATACATTAAGCCGAACCAAAAAGCACTTAGATAGAACTTAGGATGTAAAGGCCTAGAAAAGAAACAATAACGACCGTCTGCTGTAACCACGCTCGAATTGCTGTCTATTTCTAACAAGCACCGAATTAAAGTATAAGCAAAAATGCCCTTAACATAGAGATCCATAGTCCATTCAACGATGGACTCTAATATCGTTAGAGAAGCTCGATAGAAGACTGTCACTCATTGTGAAGCATGTGTTTAGACTCATATCATCCACTAGCACGAGCACATATTTGTCTGTTTCTCGATGAACGTAGAAAAGCAAAAGCAAAAAAACCACTGAGAAACAACTTAGTGATGAACAAAGTAAAGAATGAATTTCAGGAACAACTACAAAAACAGTTAGTCATATCTATACAGTTAGTGATATCTATACTGAAGCAATTTGGAATGATATACAAGGAGCTGCAGAGAGAGGGGAAATATATAATCGCAAGTCCATCAATAGGTTAAGAAAAATCAGGGTATTTCAGCACCATCTACTGAACTGACAAATGCTCGGAAACTCATCCCATCTAGCCCAAATATGATGATGAGGCAGGTAGATGTAGACCGATAAGCCTACGCAATGATCATGAGCAGTAGTAGGTACAGAAAGAAAAAGAGATGGGAAGGCAGTGGTGTTACGTAAAAGTAAACAATTGCCCAGACTTATCAGTGAAGCTGCTATTAGAAATCTGACTGTTAGAAAGACTTTATCGAAATAAAGAAGAGCGTATTATACACCCTCAGTCCAAGATAATGAACCGATGAGCAGAACCTTTTAAGGTACGGTTTGATAGGCCACCAGCCACACTCAACTACCTATCATCTACAAGCAATTTGAAACGCAAATCGAAAATTTCTTCAATACTCAGTGATATTACAAAGGTTTTAGACAATCTAAAACGAGAATGAAAAGCGGAATTTGATAGACTGATTCCTGACATCCCAATAAATGGTGGTTTGGTTTCAGCGGTTCAATTAATTGAGATCTTAGCTAGAATCTTGAAACTAAACGTAATCTCATCTGACTGGTCTCGATCCTTGACCGTCCTAGTCTATCAGAAGGGACCGAAATTCTTGTGTGACGAACATAGGGAAATCAGTTTAACAACACAGACTTAAATGTTAACATCAGTAATACTTCGACGTTAAACTAGAGCTGATGAATAGTAAACAGGAGGAACCCAGGTTGATTCTAGATCTGAACGTGAATGTAGCGACCAAATGTTCACACTTTAGCAGTTCCTGGAACAGAGAAAAACTTTCTAATGTCTAACAATAGTTGTATTGCTTGACCGTGAGGTGGCGTTTAACTCTGTTGGTCGTGAGGTCCTACGGCAATGTCAGTAATTGAAATGTGTATCGAAAAGTACATTAGCATCGTACAGACTTTCTGCTCGAACACTATTGGTCGGGTCAGATTATAAGACGTACTGTCGTTGGAATGGATTACGTCAAGTGTGGATCATCAGTGTTGTTCGCTTTTAACTCTGTGATAGACACTTTAATTATCTGAATTCTCAGGAGTTGACCTTCAACCAAGCGATTCACTTGTTGACTGACAATATGTAGCTTATACATTTCTGTTTTCTGAAGACGCTGAAAAAATGTAATCCTCTGACGGCCTAAGGCAACGATGCAAGGACGTTTGGGATACTATACTTTTCTTGCGAATGTACAGCGATGCTTCGGTATTATCTTGCGTCGCCGTCTGAATCAGCGACACGGAGTGAAGTAGTTGAGTGTCGAATGTTCAACTTATCTCAAAGATCTCCTCAGTCATGATGGTTCGATGTCTGAACTATCAATACACATAGAGAAAGACTTATTGGCTTTGCAAACTTAAATCACCTCTAAAGTAAGCGGAATATCCAACTGCTAATTAAAGGACAACTGTATTGAGTAGCACTTCTTCCCGTTCTACTTTATGAGTGTGAAATATAGCCATTGAATATAGAGGATATTCGTAGGTTACTTGTATTCCATCACACGAGTTTTCGAAGCATCGCTCATTCATAGTCTGTAATCACTTAGTAAGCAATCGTTGGGTTAGGAATAGAGTACTAGATAGAGATGGCAAATCCACTGATAAAGTAGGAAATCTTCATCAGATCAGATGGGTGAAACAGGTGTCATGTATGTCCAACCACTGAATACCTCGACAACCAAAGTCATCTGTTCGACGAACATGCTGGAAAAATGATACGGGCAGCCAAATAAAAATGTAGTACCAGTCAATCAAGTCATTCACAATTTCACTGACCCATGTTTATTCGTCTACACTACTTCATTGAGGTCCGTGCGATCATCGTAATCGGTGGTTAGATACTTTCAATTACATGACTCCAAATCGTTTGCAATGGCACAGATGCATCCATTCTTTGTATTACCTCAAATTATAATCTTTCGAATTGCTCATAGCTTTCTTCTACAAATTTCACTAGTTTATGTTTTCTTGAATCACACCTTCGGTCCCTAATCTTTTCCATTACCAATAATATTGCTACGACCTCCACAATTTCAACTCTCTGTGCTAATGTGGTATGACAAACTAAACTGATGTACATATGTATCAAGCTGTACGTTGTAACTGGCTGACTCACCATGAAGCACACTTTGACGAACACTAAATTAACTGAAATACTTGAGATACAATCGCATAATCATTTATACAAAGACAACAGCTGTAGATAAGTATCTTAGAGGAACTACGTCCACAACGAACGGTTTTGTGTTTTCAATAAAAGCGTCTTACAAACTATGCACTAAATTAATTGAGAAGTCATAAAACCCCCGCTAGACCTTACTGTATTTCCAGTTAAATGCAAACTTATGTGAACTGTAATCTATGTTTGATTGAATCTTGATGTTTATCATTGCAATGAGAAAAAATCTTCAACAAATTGTAGGTCAGGTAGATAATAGCTGATAATCTAATTAACACAAGACAGGTGATTAAAATAAAGCTCCGAAGCTTCATTTAAAAATTATTGTTAAGGAAAATCGACAACCAACGCACACCGAAATACAAACTAAAGTTACAAAACAGAAAAAAATCACTTGACAGACTTTGTGATAGATAAATAAAACTCTTGTTATTATAGTTGAAATGAGTGAGTGCAACAGATTTATAGGCTTCCTCTAAAAAAGAGGATTGGATTACGACAATGAAGTGAATTAAATTTACGTTAAGACATATTGTTATGGAATCATTTGTTCAAGTCTATCTCTAATTAACACCAGTTCAGAAGTAAGTAACCTTACACTCACAAATCATATGTCATCTTATTTCTGCACATTTACAAATATTATTTGTCAATTAAATGTTAAAGACAGTTAATGTGTTCAACTTGATGAGAATCCTACAATACATGGATGTGTTAAGATTCGGTTTGCATTCTCTTAGTTTTCTCTCATAGAATATTCATATATTCATCCTAAGTGTAAACAATTGTTTGAACTATATTTTTAATTCTTCCATAATTATTGCCTTGCAATAATCTACATAATAAATTTAATCAAAACATTTCTGATTTAAAGTATGTATAATTGTTTTGTTGTTAATAATTTATACTACTGTTTATAAATTGTAAGCAACGGAAGAAAAATTCATCAAATTAATGAAATCATTTTTATTTCTGTTACGATCATTATTCTGGTTTTATATTCTGATAAATAAAACTGTAAAAAAAAAGAAACATGCAGATCTCTTGAAATAATTCTGTACCTAATGATAATTAGATAATGCATTACGGGGTTGTGAAGATTGTTAAGTTACACATTTTTGAAACCATGAACCGATCAATGTTAGACCACCATTAGAAACCTGGAAGCACTGGACGGCCGTTTCGTCCTGGTATGGGACTCCTCAGCAGTGCGCATCCACGACTCCTGCATCTCGCAGGATTCGAACCCAGGACCTTCGGTGTAGTGCGCGAACGCCCTAACCGATAATGATATATCTTTATGATATCCTAATGAGTAGAAATTTGTATTTCTGACACATCGTGACTTTTCTGGAGCGTCAGTAATATAGATTTCTACTCATTGGAATATCACTGAAATATAATCATTTTATTATGATTATTAACTTTCTACTCAATGCCCAATTCATTTGTAAAATACTGTACTTAGTTGAAACTTGGTGTTTCACAAACACAACTTGCACCCGCCGCCATAAGGTGTTCAATTTGTTATATGATTTCACATGTGATGAATAAATTACCTATTTGTGTTTTTGAAACAATTTACAGGGATATTACATTATGAATAACGATACACGACTAATACATGTTTACTATTTCTTCAAAAAAACTCATCAGACCATAGTGTTTAAAATCGTGAATAAAAACATGAGTCAATATGATTGATAATATAGTTTAATATTTTACTTCTCAATAATAAATTGTTTGCCGCAGACGGACAGAGTAAAGAAATCAATCAATCCAAAAAAGAACACTTTTCATTGAACTATTGAATCACCATAAATCAAATCAGTATGATAAAGCGATGATTAGTTCTGTAAATTAAGATACAAAAGTGAAGCACTTTTTTTTAGAGAGTTTTCTTTTTAAAAGTGAGTGAGTTAGGTAACAACTGTTTATCCGGTTATGATAAAAGTAGACCCACCTCGGGATTTGTAGCAAAAGAATGTGAATTATCAATATTTGCTGATGAGATAGTAATGTTTGTGTGAGATTTCATTGTAACATTATCATCATTATTATTTGTGGGATTATTGTCAAAAGAACCAGTGTCACTTGAAGATTCCAATTGTTGAAGAAACTGTACCAATAAAGGTAGTAGAGTTTTACGTGTAATTTTGACATTATTTACGATTGCTGTAAAATGACTGAAATCAGGGATAGACTGAGGAATTAAATCTAGATTAAGCTTTGGATCCAATAGAAATTTGACTAGCTATCATAAATAGGGAAAATAAATAGTGAAAAGAATTAAAGCTAAATGAAAAAGATTTAAAAAATTTAATTATGGTAATTCAAAAACAATGACATAATTTCATTGGTAAATAATTTAATGTTTTCATAATTTTGTGCACAATGCGGTAATGTATCACTCTAATTAGCACATTGACATAGCAATACATTGAAAATTTCAAAAATAACCATGAACTAACCGGCTGATCGTGAATTCGTAAATGAACCTACGCATTAACCTAAGAAATTGAGGAGAAAATTGAATCGAGTGAGTAATCGCAGTTTATGACGAGATTTAACGGTTAATAACATTCGATTGTAGACATTAGACTAACAGATTACATCGTTTCACCAAGACTTTTATAACTTAAATAGACAGTACACTGCTGACTGACATACATTGTACAATTAATAATCTATAGTGTAAAATTACAAGTGTAACACTGAAAAGTGGAAAATAATTCACCAATTCATGATATTGACTTTTTTAAATACGTACTTTGAGGCAAAATGTGGAATGAAGTTGAATAAGGCTACACTAGGCAGTTAAAATTACTTGCTGACTTTCAAAACTAAGATTGGATAGTTCTGTAAAAAATTATTCAACAATGACAAATAGCATTTATACTTAAGTAGAATGACAAGAATTTTCCGTAAAGGGTAAATCATATGGTAATAAAATTTATTAAATAAAACATGTAGAAGTGTAACAATTAATAGTAGTATGAATGATAGTGTATTTTTAAAGTATCATCAAGTACAAACTTGCTAACATATAGTATCACAAATAAACCCATACGAGAATCCATTAATAAATAAAATACTTACATCATTATAATAATTAACAGGAAAATTCATACTGTACAAAATTAAAGCTCTTCTTCGGAAAGTTGTTAACTCGGATGAAGGTATTGACGAGTTTTCTTGTACGGGATAACCAACAGTAAGGCAGGCAAGTAAATTAGCATTATATTTAGTACAAATTTGACTGACTGCTTCAGTAAAATCAGATGAATTAATTAACATCTAATGAAGAAGAAAATAATTTAGAGAAAATTTTAGAATTCAACTTTACAATGAATGGTGAATTTTAATAATCAAAACTACATGATTATTAATGCTGAAAATTTTAAAAAATAGAATGAGTTTCATTTGGAGTATCGTTGATAAAATTTAGTGCAACTCAGCGGTGGGAATTTAAATGCATTGAACATCGAAACATTGTTCTAATCTAATGAAAGTTAACTTGATGCAAGTATTATACATCTCCGAATTTTCTGAAGTATTTTCCTGCTTATGTTAAAATCTAACAGATATACAGAAATTGAAAACCAACTTGGTTGTGTGTTACCCCTCATTGATCCTAAGTCATTTCACAAACATTCTATGCCTAGAAATGTTGTGATTTCGTTATTAGTGATATTTTCGTATGGATCTTGAAGAAATTAATTTTGAATTAGCATTTATAAACCTTGAAGACTTAAGAAATTTTCAGAGGTCTTTATTGAGTAGAAACAACTGTCAATGGTTCTTTAATGTACTACAATTAATTAACTGAAGGAGATTTATGAATCCTCCAACGTTTTGTGAAAATTTATAATTTAAGGTAGAGAATAAATGAGTGAACCATTGAAAACCGAAGAGTACTAACCAGATGTTTTGTTGTAGTATAGTATTCCCTAACAAGTTTTCATCCAGTTTAAGATGAAAACGAACTCGGAATAGAACAATCTTCTCAAACCCTTGACACTGTTAATAACCGTATTCTCACTAATGGCTTCGCTTTAAGAGGTAAGCTCGAATTTTTCAAGCGAAACTGTGGTCCATTGAGACAAGTGAGTTAAATCATGATATTAGGAGAGATTTAGATAGTTATGAAAAATTGTGGACTGACTGGAATCGAAAATGCAGACCAGTGAATTTAAAACCATGGATTCAAAACGTATTGAGCTCATTCAATGACATAAAAGGCCTCCGTTTAATCCCTCTCACTAACTCACTTACGCCTATCACCCCCCAATGGTGCATAGTGTTCTCCAATCAGCTCTGTCCTAGGCTTCCCTTTCCGGTTCTGTTCGATTTTTATTCATTCTTCTCACATTTTATTCTATTTCTCGGCGTAATGTGTTTCTTGACCTTCCTCTTTTCCTTTGACCCTGAGGGTTCCAAGTGAGGGCTTGTCTTGTGACGCGGTTCGGTGCTTTTCGCGGTGTCTATCCTATCCACTTCCACCGCTTCTTCCTGACTTCCTCCTACGCTTCACTCTAGTTTTTCTCCCACAGCATGTTGTTGCTGTGTCTGGCTATCGGGTCCGACTTATTCTGCGTAGACAACTGTTAATGAATACTTATATCTTCTGGATGATGGCTTTCGTAGTTCTCCAAGTTTCCGCTCCATACAGTAGAACAGTGTTGATATTTGTATTGAAAATTATGATTTCGGTGTTGGTTGATAGTTGTTTGGAGTTCCAGATGTTGTTCAATTGTAGTAATGCAGCCATTGCTTTGCCGATCATCGCCTTTACATTTGCATCGGATTCACCTTGATTATCGATAGCTGCCCTGGTTGTCAGGTGTATCAGCCTCGTGACTCCCGAAGAAACTCGGCTTTCATCATAAGACGTCATAACTCTTATGAAAGAACACCGAACTCCAACGGCAGAGTTAAAATGGTTTGAATTATGTTTTCTGGTTAGCGCTTTTTAGCGAGTTATTTTTCTCCAGGATGGGGCCCCTAACACCATGCCCAACCCTCCTCCTTTATCCGGGATTGTGACCGGCAGTAGCCCCAGGACCAAAAAATCTTTCAAAATTTTGTCTGCGTCTTTTAAAATAACCACAGCGCTTTTTAATATTCTTTTGAAAAAATAAAAAGAATACTATTTTTAATTAAAGTCTTCATTAGCAATCACTTTTAAACAACTGCGACGTATATGCCTCAAATAACCTTGCAAATCATTTGATACTAATCGATGTATAAGAAACCTTTTTTAAAGTCATTTGAAGTCTATAAATTACTCTTCTTATAGATTCAAGGGATAGGTTTACAGAAAACATGTTTTCTATTTTTTCTCAAATTTGTACCATTGTTATTATTGGGTTTAATTCTATTAATTCTTCAACAAAGTTGAGAATCCCCTGACTGATTTTCTTATTTGATGGTTTTCCTGTTTTTTTCTCTTCAATTGTTGATTCATTTTTATAAATAATCTTATAACAACATTTGCAGCGGCCTGATAATTCACGTCACCACAAGAAATACCGCATCTTTAACACTGTATCCATCTTCGATAACCCTTTTTATGGGGTTTTTTCTTTTTTCATTAGAAATCAAATTATTTTTCCTATTCATTTCTGACATTTTAAGGATTATAAAAAATTATTAAAAAACGCTGTGGAAATTTTGAAAAAAAAATTTTGGTTATTTTAAAGAACCCTGTTAAAAATTTAAAAAACGAGCTGAAATACTATAGTTGACCTTAATTCAATAGAATAAATTATAACCCAACTGATAAAAATATTCATCAATAATTTTAAAGATAAACCCACAAAAGGATTTTCACTCAGTCAGTCAGTCAGTTGCAACCTAAAACATGGTACGTATGTACATTTACATAAGTTACTTCTAGAGTAGGCGGAATATCCAACTGCCAATTAAAGGACAACTTTATTGGGCAGCACTTCTTTCCGTTCTACTTTATGAGTGTGAAACATACACATTAAATATAGAGGATATTCGTAGGTTACTTGTATTCCATCACACGAGTTTTCGAAGCATTGCTCATTCATAGTCTGCGATAACTGGGTTAAGAATAGAGTAATAAGTAGAGATGGCAAATCCACTGATAAAGAAGGGAATCTTCATCAGATCAGATGGGTGGAACAGGTGTCATGTATTTCCAACCACTGAATACCTCGACAACCAAAGTCATCTGGTCAACGAACATGCTCGAAAAATGATACGGGCAGCCAAATCAAAATGTAGTACCAGTCAATCAAGTCATTCACAATTTCACTGACCCATGTTTATTCGTCTACACTACTTCATTGAGGTCCGTGCGGTCATTGTAATCGTTGGTTGGATACTTTCAATCACGTGACTCCAAATCGTTTGCAATCGCACAGATGCGTCCGTTCTTTGTATTACCTCAAATTATAATCTTTCGAATTGCTCATAGCTTTCTTCTACAAATTTCACTAGTTTATGTTTTCTTGAATCACACCTTCGGTCCCTAATCTTTTCCATTACCAATAACACAGCTACTACCTCTACTGATATGGGGTTTGAACTGATAATTTCAACTCTCTGTGCTAATGTGGTATGACAAACTAAACTGATGTATATATCCATCAAGCTCTACGTTGTAACTGAGTGATTGACTGACTCGAATTCCATAATAGTAGAAGTAGTAGAAGCATTATGGGTAATGGAAAATATATGATTCGAGGAGTTACAAACCAGTGAAATAAATCGAAGAGAGAAAAAGAAGTCATGAAAAATTTAGTTCAGCGTTTGCTGAAACAGAATTGATGCATCTGCGCCATTGCAAACGATTTTGAGCTATGTCATTTAAAGCATCTAACCACTGGTTACGATAATCACGCGGGTCTAAATCAGGTGGTCTACACCTGCTAACTAGTAGATGACTGCTAGGCAACTAATAAACACCGGCATAAAAGTCACAGCTTACCTTGAAATCAACTCCAGACACAGTGGAGCATACAAACTGAAATGCATCTTTAGTTGGACTAGAAACAATTTTCATATCACGACGTAACAAATCCCATGTAGATAGTCCTGTGTAAAATCAATTCATGAGTAAAGATGAACGATTATCAAGTTAACTGAAGGCACTATTCATATGTAGGAAAATTTTAAGATTTTCTTGTATTTAATCAGAAGTGGTTTTAATTTTTATAACATAAAGTGTTACATTTTAAAGTTTTATTGTACTAACATGTAGTGAACACGTCATAAATATAACCATCTAGTAGCTATATTCTATTCAAAAATAGAAATGTTTGAGTGATCTTGAACATAACAGCTATTAACTAATGTTACATGTTGAAATATATTCCGTCCTAACTCAAATTTGAAAAATCAAATTACAATTTTTTAAATATTTGCTCAATAAGTATGGTTAGGTTTAACACAAAATACACAAAAGACTAGAACTAATTAATAAAAAACATTTTAAAGGTTTACTTGACTTGCACGACACAGTAAGATGAATCAAACAACAAAGATAAATCTCCAAGTTTCGATACACATAGAATTGATTTATTTAGATTAAAATGTTACTTAAGCATCAATGTAAGATGTAACAAACTATTATAACACTAAACAAAACTAAATAGAGGAAAATATAACAGAACTTTTCATTATTTTCGAATATTAATTTGTACTGAGCAGTGGAGTAGTCTGGACGAATATCAAGAAGCATTAAGGCCATATGAATGGTAAAAATTTAATACCTGATTGGATTGTGACTTTCACAAAACACCACTTACTTTTAAATGACCATGAGTATATAGTCACTGCCAGGAAAGTCCTACTGCCTACCGCCACTGCCTTCTCGTGGCAACGGCTCTTTACGACACTGAGAAGACGAAGACCGAATATACGGAGCTTTAACAAGACTAGTGAGGGGAGTTGGATCCCAAAATAATGGTCAACATGGTCTTTAAAATACTAGAGGAACAAATGGTGTATGAACCTATTTTTGGTCACCAGCTACCATGGGATTGCATTTCCTGACGTTTCTCTAATGCCTTGTGGATTAGACCTTATGACGAATGCCCCCCTAAGAAAACCACCTGGCCCGGTTTGGACATCCAAGCAGTGTATTAGCCGACATAAAAATTCATTGACTTGTGTAGCGCATAAATATTTATGTGCCTCTTTATATCAATAATTTTGCAAATAAAAAATAATAAAATAATTAACTACTAAATATGTGAATCATCCTAATGTCTGTATATCAGCATTTTCCTGTTCAGATTGTGTTGAAGCGAAAGAGTGCATGTTGTTAGTCGCTTTTTGATGATCTTATATTCTATTTCTCGAAGCGTAGTTTTAAGAGCAAAATGAAAATGAGATCATGAGCGAGGACTTTCTTACAAAAGTTTTACCAAATATGATTCATTTTGATTTTTGCTTTTCTTTTGATTTATCACTATCCTTGCATGATTATTTAATCAAAGAAATTTTCCCGTTTAAACATCGCTATAAAGAAGATGGATTCTCAGTATTGCCTAACATTAACTTTTGCAGCTTGTCAATTCTTATACACGATCTATTTGTGATGAACCGTTTGACCTTGATGCATGTCATGAAACAAACTTTAGAATGTTTTCAATAAGTGGTCAGTGTTACTAGATCAAAAAAGCCATCTGCCTGACTAACAACTCTACAACGGCCTGTCCTCTGAGATGATAGAACAGTCAGTCAGTCAGTTACAACACAGAACTTCGTATGCACGTAAATCAGTTCACGTTGCCATACCGCATTAGCACAGGGACGCAACTATCAGTATGTTGATAGAACAGTGAGAAGATGTAATTTATCTGACCAATTACGTCTTCTCACTGTTCTATTAAAATTTATCAAAGGGACTAATTATTTTAAATATCAGTATGTTAGAATCTGTGGCCGTATATGGAAGTACTAGGGCTATAAAATAAAGTTTATTCGACATAATGATTGTGTGACAAGAATGCTACAAGGACAGACATAAGCAAAGATAAGTAGCTTTTATTCAGTAATCTCAGAACATTTTTAACATATACATCTCTCTCTCTCGCAGTATTTAGCATAGTGTGATGAGAATTCCTTATTCTACCAATCATAAAAAACTGAATAAGTTAATTATTATTAGAATGAATCAATTGATCGTCATCATTCAAGTTCTAAAAACGACGATCAATATCACGCCCCTGGATTTAACATATAGAACATTTTGATTAAAGGATATATTAATAAGATCAATATGATAGTTGTCAAGCGTTATAATCATACTTTCTGATCCCAATCCAGGCTTATATCTCTATCGGCTAAAAGGTGCATTAGCGTAACAAAAGTATTAAGAAAGTGGCAAATTATCACGTAGAATCAAACAACAGATTGAATACATGAAATTTCTCTCACAAATAAGATTTTGATATTTAAGAAAAGCTCTATAAAAAGGTTTGCTTTGAATAATGATTTCTGATATTTACACTTGCGAGCAACTCTCAACATCCGATATCATATGGCTGAAAATGTGCCGGTGGACTTACCAACACAAGCCAAGAGATCAATGAAATCATCATTATCATCATTTAAAAACCTATACAATGATAATATAAATAGTTATGTCTACTTAACTGCTAAAAATTAATTATACTATAAAGCCAATTACAGGATAAGGTTTGCATTAAACAGTTTGATTGGAGGATAAATTATACATTTAACACTACATTATTACCGTCAACATTAAATTTCGCTGTTTCCAATTGAGTAAACAAGGAAGTTCGTGAGACATTTGGCGAGAAAATCTGATCGTAAATAATATCTTCAATACGATTAGCCATGCGAAAATCTAATGCTGTTAGTCGTCCAGCCAGCTGACCAGCATTAGAAAGTCCTATGGTATCAATAAGTATGGCACCTATAAAAAAACATAATGTTAGGTAAACAGAAATTGTTTAAATTACCATAAAGTAATTTCCATACATTACTTGGCAAATGGCTACCATCCATTTCTTTTAAAATTTCGAATGTAATCAGAGTGGAACAAGATCCAACAAGATCAATTTGTTTAAAAGGACAATTTTCAATAGTCTCACTACTAACTAACTGATGATGATCAATTATTTCAATGATTGGCCATTTTTTAAACTTTTCCGTTGGTAAATGATGATCAACTAGAATCAAAAATAATTCATTTTCATTCATTTTTGAATGGGTTTCATCAAAAACATCATCCAGATAAATTAACTCTTCCCATTTGAGACCACATTGAGTAAGCCAAAAGTTGACTTCAGTACGTAAAACCATATCTTCTCTATTGATATTACATACAGGTATAACAATGAACTCATCTTTAAGCTTCTAATTAAATCTATATAAGAAAAGACTAAATAATTCGACTTACTATTTGCTTATAGAATCCATAAGCCAGAGCACATGCTGTGCTATCTAGATCACATGCTTCATTTCCCACTACAAGAATCCATTTATTTTTACAACTTGAATGCTGAAAATATCGGACCATAAGTTATTTTTTTTTGAAAGTAAAATATAATTATCGTGTTTAATAACGCAAACAAAAAATAACTTACAAGTGCTTCGAGTGCATGCTGTAAAAATGAATCCATTGCATTAAATATTCAACATGAAACTAAAATTGATATGCACGAATGACCAGTCGAAATGAAGATTCTATCAAACAAAAGAATAAAAAATCATGTAATTCCTAATGTATGGATACAAAAATAAGACATTGAACGACCATAAACTATGGCTAATCTTGCTCATAAAAATAATTTATTGGTGTGGGATAACAATACCGTTGCTAAGGGAAAATTAAAACAGAAAAATAAAATATATCAGACTTATAGGATAACATAATACACAAACAACCGAATTTAAAGGCTGTTTTCTAATGAAAATGACAAACGCCTATTTAGTTAGTCAGTCAGCTACAACGTAGAACTTCGTACGTATGTAGGTAAGTTCAGGTTACCATACCACATTAACACAGAGACGCAATTTTCAGTTCTAATACCGTAGAGGTAGAGATAGTAGAAGTATTAACGGCAAAGGAGAAGATTAGGGTTCGGAGATATCATTCAAGAAGTATAATTCAGTGAGATAAATCTAGAAAGATTGAGGTAATGAGAAAGTAAGGAAATCAGAATTTCACAGAACACAAAGAGTGGATGCAACTGCACCACTGCAAACGATTTTGAGCAGTGTCATTCAAGGTCTCTAACCAAAGGTAACTATCGTCTCGCGGACCCTAACCAAGTAGTCTATATTTACTAACATGGCTCTGTCCACTTGTCAACGACTTCATAGATTTGTGCCATGTTTTGGTCTGGCCACCCATAGCTTTCTTCCAACCTAGTTCCACACCGCAAAATATAGCTCGACGAGGAAGTCGGTGGTTAGGCACTCGTAATACATGTACCAACCACTCCAACTGATGAAGTTTCATTACTTCATCTATTGACCTGACATTGCTTACTCGGGTGTCCCACGATACACGAGCAATGCTTCTGAGACACCTATGATCGAAAACCAGTAACCTACGAATATCTTCTACTCTCACTGGCCATGTTTCACAGCCATAGAGTAAGACGGAGCGAACTACTGCACAGTACACTCGTCCTTTAGTCAGCAAACGGATATCTCGTCTACGCCATAAGTGACGCACATTGGCAAAAGCCGATCGAGCCTTCTGTATCTGTGCTGAGATTTCGTTAGTCACCAGGCCATCAGCACTGATGAGACTCCCCAGATAAGTGAAGCGATCTACACGTTCGACTACTTCACTCCCTATCACTAGTTCAGGTGCCGATGAAACCCAATCTTGAAGCAACATTTTGCATTTCGAGGGGGAAAACCGCATCCCCAACATGCTTGCACTGTTGCTTAGGGTGGTTAGAAGACTCTGCATTTTGTCAGCGTCTTCACCAAGTAGGACTACGTCATCGGCGTATTCTAAGTCAATGAGCTAGCCTCCTGGTAGGTCTACTCCTGAAAATTCAGACGAAGATAATGCTATATCTAGCAGCATGTCTATGACAAAAATGAACAAGAATGGAGAAAGTGGACATGCCTGAAGGACTTTCCTTGGACTCATTTTAAAGATCTCGTTAATTGTTGAGGTGGTGTTTTGAGGATTAGGTCGCGAACGGAAAAAGTAAAATATAAAACAGCCAAAACACAAACTTTAGGAAAACGCAGCCAACAGTAACAAGTAGAAAAACCCCCCTGACTTTCTCGTTGCTCTTTCAACGAGAATGGCATAAATAATAACTGTGTTGAAAGATAAACGTTGTGCAACTTTCAGAATGCACATCGAATGTTGTCGTATTGCTGAGTATTGGTGTCTGCCCCCCTCTCAAAATGCTCTCATATGGCAACATTTGTTTAGCCGCTGACAAGAAAGGCCTAATCATCAACATCTCGTGGTGACGACTCTTTACGAAACTGAGAACACGAAGACCGAATATACGAAACTTTAACAGGACTAGTGAGTATGGACGATTCATCTACGTGAGTTGGAAGACCCTGGTCCCAAACTAACGGTAAACATAGACTTTAAAATCCTGGAGGAACAAATGGTGTATGAACATATTGTTGTTGTTGGACCCCAGATAGGTGCAATGTATTGAACAAATCAACCGCAGGGATTGAAGATTTCTCTATTTGACGATCAAGATGAATCAAGATATATTTCGTTATATCTGAATTATTTTAAAACTATTACATCCCATTTGCAATTTTGCTACTAGATAATGAAACCAGTGACATTAATGCGACTGGAAGGTCACTTACCTGGAACGAAAGCAACAGTAGGTTCAAGACTCCTGAAGAAATTTGAATAATATTGTATTCTAATTTAACAGCTGGAAGTTAATTTTTATTGTTGTTGTCTAGTTAGGAAGATTATAGGCTATAAAAAAACATTGACCCTATTCCAGATATCTTTTAGCTTTTGTAACATCCAGGTATATAAAGCCTCATCGAAACCTTAGCTAAGGTAAAAACACCTATGGATAAACTGCGACTTTTTTGACCACATCACATCTATCTTGCGGACAGATCAGGGGGGAATAAATAACCATCACACAGCTGCGTTGTTGGAGACATGCGGAAAATACATGTGAAAAAGGGCTGACTGAGATCTTGGTCACGACACCTGATTATAGATGTACAACCGACAACGGTTGTTATAACGACAAAAAGGACAGTCCCTTTTGGAAAAGGAATACTAAAAATTCGCTCAGTCTTTGGCAAACCCTACAGAGTATCGACCTATGGGACCGGTACAATGTTGGAATTTTTCAACTAATTATAACTATATACAATTTGGTCTAACAAACTTCATTAAGTCTAGGTCACTACAGTCTCAAAGGCAAGCTTTTGAAAGATAATAAACTTCAACTCCCATTTGGGAGTAAAAAAACACCAGCGCGACTGGAAAGCATCTCAACTTTACTAGAGTATTTATTAGCAAAATTATAGGACCGTACTACTTTTCAACAAACAATATCACCAGTATGAAGTTACGAATGAGAACCCCAAATATGCGCGTCTCTAATATGCAAGCAGTTGAATTAAGTAGCGTTTCCTGATTCAAAAGTATCCCTGAACCCTTGTAATTCAAGTAGGGGAAAATCTCAATACCAACACAATCAATAAAACAGTATCCGATGCACAGAAAGTTGGACCCCAGTGAAAAACTGCAGACATACATAGTTCTATAGAGGTAAGTGCAGTATTTAGATTCCAGATGAATACAATTCTATTAATCTAGCTCATAATCCCTAACACTAAAAATCGTATTTCTACATTAATTTGCCAGAATATTCAAGACAATTCGCTCAAGAGTGCAGGAACAATACTCTCTTTATATCCTTGAATTAGAAACGATATTACATGCTAAAATTTACAAATCTTTCATCAATGTTCCGCGTAATTTCAAGACTAAAAGAGTATACATTAAAATCGACAGGGTTAGCCGACCCTCAAACTTGACGCTCTTTCTCTTAAACGACCTTGAGCTACCTTAGGTTGTTATTCCGTATTTCAAATGATTAGTGCATGAAGATGGTGAAAATTTGATTTTAGACGCTTTTGTGTGTATATAACCTTCTGTCGTATGTTTTTTGAAATCTCTATTTTCAGTTATGTACCAAGGTTTTGCTTTATCGTTGTTACTCGTGCATTTTGAACAATTTTAGTTTGTATCTATGGCTCATGATCATAATCTATGCCAAAATTTATGCTCTACTTTGCAGGCCACTAAATCAACTTTAGTACGTATTTCAGCTCTTTTATAATCGTGTTCACATTATGGTTAAGTTACTTAACTGAATTATTCCGCTTGAGCTGTGAACAACCACAATCACCAGAAACAATGCTCGTATGTTTTAATCGCTTATAAAATGACTTCTACATCTCCGTACTTTCAACTCCTTGTAATATTACCTAAGTTGGGATGGATTTTTCAGAAGAATGCATCAACAAATTCACATCGAGCTCGTTAGCTAGCTTACATGGAGCAGATGTAGTTTGGTGAAATTGTTATCGATAACTAACTAGTCATTATTAGCAGATGCTCCTGGAAAAAATTTATGTCCGTAAACAGGAAGGTTATATTGCTTAAATTACAGCTGACCATACTCGCTAGATACACTAAACATAAATAGCTGGAATGTGGTGTTTGGAAACACCCTTGATGATTGTAAATAAAAGGTTTCTAAATAAATGGTTCTTCGCACCCAAATACATATGCACCGGGTAATATCAGTTGCCCGTTTCGAGATTTGTCTCCTTCAAAGAATTATGTCTGTGTGAATGTAATTAATTTTCCAAGGCTAGTGATTATATGCTACCTCTAGTTAAGTGTCCATTCAGGTAGTTTATATTTTGTATACAGCTTTCAAATATCATATATCAACTCAAGCCGAAAAAGATATTTTAAAGGCAAATATACATGAAATCATTGTCTGTAGCTCCAGGGTTATTTGCTGAAATTATTTGAGTGGTCTGGGATTTCGCAGTGTTTGATGACTGCCTCCCAATTCCTCATTTTTCGCCAATGTTCAATGACACCAGTGGGATATGACTCATCGTTGGTGTTGATAAAACATTAGCATGTCAACTACGTCTTTCATTTACGTTTATAATTATAGATTGGTTTCGACTGCTACTGAGTAATCTTATTACCAACAAACCTGTAAAATTACGATAAAAGCAATCACGATAAATGAAGTCCACCCGAAACGTTATAAAAGGGATGGTAATAAAAACGTTAAAACAATGACTATAAAATGTTCATTAAATCTCTATATATTGTCTACAACATCCTACTGTAAAAATAATCCTGATCAAATTAGCTATTTTGGATAGTGAAAGCAGATAATACCGTTCGAATTTATCAAAACCCGACCCATGACTAACCCTTCTCGCATTCCTTCATCACCCCGTACGGCTGATGCAGTCAATTTAAGTACACGAAACACCCGAATAGATCACATCGCCATCAGCACCGATGGAGGGGTTCGACAGAAAACTATCGCTCATTCTGGGGCACATGTTTGGATTCATATCATGCTCTACTGCGAGCGTGTATGTGTCGGCGTCTTGGTGGATGTAGGAAAGTCACAACAAGGAAACCCCTTAGAATTCTCATAAGAATATATTTCAGGAGCAACTAGAAAAAGTTAGGCAGCCACGTAAGTGATGTCCACTCAGAGGCTGCATATAATGATATCCAAAAATGCTATGAAAATAGTCGTGAAATCTGCTAGGAAGGTAGACCATAAGGTTAAAGAGAAGCAGTAGATTTCAGTAGCATCAACCGAACTCATAGATGCTCGGAAACTCATCCCACCTGACTATGAACATGACAAAGAGCGAAGTTAGCTTGAGCGCAGGTTGATAAAAAGCCAACGCCATGGTTGCGAAAAGTGGTTGGCAGCGAATGTAAGAGATGGAAAAGGCTGTGGCAATAGGTGACAGTAGAGAACTTTCCAGATTTATCAAGGAAACCAGTATTAGAAATCCATCTGTTACATATCTCGGGTGTTCTATTCACCCGTTTGGTCTGGTGTCTGACAAAATATCAAACAGAGATAGAGAAGGCTCACTTCGTTTTTGCCAAATAGCGTCGGTCAGTCAGTGACGTATGTACGTAGGTTCAGTTTACCATACCACATTAGCACAGAGACGCAATTTTCAGTTCTAATACCATAGTGGTAGATTGAATCGACTGGCAGAACACTTCAAAGATTAATTCAACTCACAATTTTGTCGTCCATAATCCCCAGACAATCTGAATGGCAAATCGACGTTAGACTACTGAGTCTTTGTGAAGTTGAGACAGCTATAGGAAATCAGAAGCGAGGGCCAGCCTCTGGGCCTTGCTGACTTACCCTTGAGATTTTTAATGGTGGTGGCTCAGTTTTAGCAGTCAGACTGACTGATATCTTTTAGGTGAAAGTGAGCCACAAAAGTACATTAACCTTGTACAAGGTCTCTACTCTAATATCAATCGTCGAGTAAGAGCTTATGGAGAACTGTCTTCGGTATTGGTTGCTTCAGTTGGTGTCCGTCAGGGATGTTCACTTTCTCCATTCTTATTTAACTTTGTCTTAGACATGACTTTAGAGTTAACATTATCTTCGTCTGACTCTTCTGTGGTGAACCTTGTACCAGGAGAATCATTTCTTGACTTGGTATATGCCCATGACATAGTTCTATTTGGTGAAGACGCTGACAAAATAGTCTTCTGACCCTACAGCAATTGAGGATTCATTATTGGAAAACAGGATAAAACCCAACCAGTCGAAATTTCACGTTGTGATCATTCTCCTCTACGCGACACAAACGGCTTACACACGATGGAAGTCCGTACCCTAACGTTTCCTAAGAGCGCAATCTCGGTTTAAGATGTACGAAGAGCCGAGACATTAGGGGAATGCAGCCAAGGTTAGCACAACTCTTCAGTTTTCGCCAAGACAACTTGGTGCGATCACCCCACAATTATTCTAAACAGTCTTTAAAACGTAATCATGCCCGCACCTTGATGTCCAGAATGTCAGCGCAGCCCTCAGAAGTGACATATATTTGGGATCGAATGCAGAGATGAGCAACCAAGTTGGTGATAGGGTTGAATAACAAACTTCACCATGATAGACTTTAGCACCTATGACTATTCTCTCCGATTTACAGGAGAATCAGAGGTGATCTGTTAGGTGCGTAGAATATATTATGTTCCCTGAATCATCCCAACATGAACATCTTGCAAAAGCATCACCACCTCGCCCCTCGACATAATCCTCGAAAAATCGCTTATCGAATAACTAACACTCAGGTTCTTGAACACTTTTTGTTGTTTTCACGACTTGGAATGCTCTTCCATCCGAGGTGACCACAGCCCCTCCAGTGGATGGCTTTAAGGAAAGACTTGATAAACACGTACTCAAATACAGATTATTATCTCCCTTGTGGACAAGCTGTGCATAACGTATCCCATAGGACTTACGAGTCGTTATGATTGACATCTTCTTAGATCGATGACTGAATCGATTTCGCTTAATACTTATGTTTCATCTCCCTTGCTCACTCTTCAATCAGCTCGCACAATCTTCACTAGCAATTAATGAACTAAACTGTCCATTCCTTCACTTTGTTCTGAAGTCTTCGCACTAGCATTAGAATTTTCTGCTTATTATTCTCCACGTTGCAGCTGACTGATATCCGTTCTGTTAATTTGATAGCTGCTGATATCCAGAAACCCTAATGCCCTGTAAAAAACGTATCCATCTTATTCACGTGACATACAAACTCACAAACCGCTATCAACTGACTAGAATCAGACAGTCGAGTGGCTAGACTCCCATTCATCGGAACCTACCAAAAACCTGGAACAGTACCAAAAGAACATGAATCGAACGCAAAGAAATCACCTGATTTATACTATCTCGTGAAAAAGATATTGGAGATATTGGATATTGGATACATTGGAGGTTCTAAATATGAAATTGTATTATACAAGTGTGACCTTTAGGACTTGACTACATGTGAGTTAACGATCCTATTTCTCTAACTACAGCTCTTGAAAGTCACTTATCCAGTTACCTATAAGTTTTTCTGACCTTAATCTTTTAGTTTCGTGTTTGAATCATAGTTTCATGCGCCTGTGCTGAATTGTGTCAAGTTTTTTCCATCTTCAGTCTTCACAATTACAAACGCGTGAAGACATAATAACCTGCTAGTAATGCTATCAGACACCCGCCGTTGGTCGGAGAAGTTCGTTATCAAGTAAGTTATGTTACCAACTTGATTTAACTCCTTTTAGACATCCTTGGCATGATGTCGTTAGCTCTGTACAATTTAAATATCCCAACCCATTCAATCCAAATGTACTAAACATAGATATTCTTAGTCGTCAGATCGATCTTACCTGTGGCTCTATACACAGTTACAAGCTGATTAACTCCTCTTGGCCCATGTTTCATATGGGTCAACTGAAGGCACTGGAATATAGTTGTATTCATATCCCGGAGAAACGAATGGTCTCTGATACAATAAATATCGACTTTCAAGGTGTACTAAATGGCACAGAACATATGGAATATACTGTTCACCCAGAAAATAAAGATTGGTAAGTTTTTCAACATTTGCACTAGTATTTATGCAGGATACCTCACCTTGTTCCTTGTGTCACGAAATACTAGGAACATCACCCTTTTGAAGTTGACTACAAATTTATTATGTAAAGTATAGTCGTTGTTTTCAAGTGGAAATTATCTTCCTAATTCAAAAATGGTCTGTAACAGTCTAGTGTTTATTAAGTCATTTTTAAACATACATTTAATGCAGAATTATTTTAAGAATCATAAGTTAAGTGAAGTTAAGTACCAAACTACGTGCCGGTCTGTTTATTTGACAGGTTCATTATAGCCTGGCACCAGAGTGTTTCATGGTCATGTAACGATTTCGCAAATCTAGGGTGACGACCCATATGAGACTACTATCATAAAAGGATTTTCTTATCTCACATTCAGTAAGTAAGAAGAATCAGTCTTTTAAAGTTGGAGTTTGGTACTGAAAGTCTTTGTATAATGGTATCACTAAGTATGTGCAAAAGACGATACCTTTTTAGAGACTGATTCCATGTGATAAATGTAATTTGAACTCAACCATTTTGATTGGATATTTCCAGTGCAATCAGTTTAATTAAAACGTCCATAAGACTTCGTTTTCATATGTTGTTTGGAGCCTCTGAGTGGACATCACTTACGTGGCTGCCTAACTTTTTCTAGTTGCTCCTGAAATATATTCTTATGAGAATTCTAAGGGGTTTCCTTGTTGTGACTTTCCTACATCCACCAAGACGCCGACACATACACGCTCGCAGTAGAGCATGATATGAATCCAAACATGTGCCCCAGAATGAGCGATAGTTTTCTGTCGAACCCCTCCATCGGTGCTGATGGCGATGTGATCTATTCGGGTGTTTCGTGTACTTCAATTGACTGCATCAGCCGTACGGGGTGATGAAGGAATGCGAGAAGGGTTAGTCATGGAGGTAAGGGAGATGTTAGGTAAAATTGGAAGGATTTGATTGTGACCAATTTGGTCTCGTGTGTTGTTACGGGTATGAGGACAGATGTCACTCCGGCCGCCCACATAGTAGAGGGTGTTTCTGGAGGAACCTGGAAAGGAAGTTGGATAAGCGTTGGTCTTAGAGACCTAGAAGCGTGACCACATAGTCCAAGGGACAACTGCTTGGGGCCGGTCACTCACGGCCTTTTTACGAGAAGTTAACGCGTTAGCTCCGCACTTCAAGTGGCATTTCCACCAGAGACGGAAGTCCATGAGGTAAGGTGAGGTGTGAAATTTTTAGGATCGACCTTCTATAGTCCATTCCATCCTTGTGAGAAGGCAGCATCGTTGCGGATGCTGGTCATCCAAGGCTAACACCTTACTGCTGCCACACCTCTCTACAGTCAGCAGTACGACTCCACCCTCTGACCTTGAGTTGCTGCTTTTAGTCTTACCGTTCTCCAATAGGCCTGGCCGGCATGGTCGAACCTACAGGAACATATGTTCCTGCCAATATAGCTCGGCTAGGTCATCACGATAGGCAAGCCCAGCCACCACGTCAAGGTAGCAGCTGCGGTCGGGCTTTGATAAATTCGAACGGTATTAAGTGCTTTCACTATTCGTTTCTAACATTATAAAGACTCAAATTCAACACATTCATCCTATCTGGTGATATTGGCAATGAGCGTCTGCTTTTTTCAAACTTGATCTCTATCACACTTTATGGTGATCAAATCTTATATCCAATGTGCTGGTTAAGATTACTCTGGTTTACTTACCATGATTCTGAATTGTGTTCTATTGTACCTGTATCTGATTACTATTAATTTAGTAGATACTTAATGATACTGCGTCTTAGATCGTAACTATCAGTTTTTACTTGTTTTACAGGACTGTCCTAGAGCATTCAATTTCAGTGAAAGCATTTTCACTTATTGCAATCTCAGCTGTGAGTATGAGTAAGCAGAATGCACATCAGGTATGTCTTAACATTCCAACATTTTTCGTCCTATTCTTATATCGTACAGAGGCGTCACATATATTTACCTTTGACTACAAGTAACAAAAATACTTCACTCAACCTTTTTTCTTTTTATTCTAAACTTTCCACTTTTATCCACCCCAGGGGCCTTGCTGGTGTAGTTATATCAGTAAGTTCAAAGTAGAACTGGCTCGCGTAAGCTGGTTTCCAATAGACAGTCGGTTGTGAGATATCAGACTAAACAAAACAGTAAGAACTAAGAAATATGAGGACACCATTGCCTCGTTGTCTCTGCTTACGCTTCTACTGTTTAACGTTCAGATGAAGTAAAAGATGAATTTCACAGAAAGCTTCCCTAACACCAAGAAGCTAAACGCTATGTTATAATAAAAGTGACTTGTGACTTTAATACCCAAGTAGACACACCAAACCAAAATGAAGGGCTCTCTAGTGGAAGGATGTCGGCTGACAAGGAGATCCTTACAGTTGACTCAGCGATGGACTCTAATACACCACATTGCCATCAGCCATCGTTGGAGAAGTTCAATAAAAGACTCACTCGTTCTGGAACCTGAGTTTAGACTGAGATTATACAGTAGTTTGAGCACTTATTTGTCTGCATCTCATTGAATGTAAAAAGGCCATAGCAGATAAACCTATAAAATCGATGAGCAGAAAACTCTAGGAAACATCGACTGGCCTTATACCTAAGTTACCTACCATCTCCAAGCAATTTGAAGCGCGAATCGAAAAATTCCTTCAATACTCAGTGATATTACAAAGGTTTTAGACAATCTAAAACGAGAATGAAAAGCGGAATTTGATAGACTGATTCCTGACATCCCAATAAATGTTGGTTTGGTTTCAGCGGTTCAATTAATTGAGATCTTAGCTAGAATCTTGAAACTAAACGTAATGTCATCCGACTGGTCTCGATCCTTGACCGTCCTAGTCTATAAGAAGGGACCGAAATTCTTTTATGACGAACACAGGGAAATCAGTTTAACAACATAGAGACTTAAATGTTAGCCTCAATAATTCTTCGACGTTGAACTAGAGCTGATGAATAGTAAACAGGAGGAACCCAGGTTGATTCTAGATATGAACGTGAATGTACCGACCAAATGTTCTAACTTTAGCGGTTCCTGGGACAGAGAAAAACTTTCCAACGTCTAACAATAGTTGTATTGCCTGACCGTTAGGCCGCGTTTGACTCCGTTGGTCGTATGGTCCTGTGGCAATGTCAATAATTAAAATGTGTATCGAAAAGTAGGTTTTTCTTAACTTTTAAAGAATTTGCAAAATAAAATGATCATAAGTTGCATGTTCTACTTCCATGAAATGACATTCTAAGGTCCATAAAATCAAGACATCAAACAGGTTTGATGACATATGTTTATTATCTTATGATTTTAGTGACATTATATATCAACTGAACCCCGTTTTGCTTTTAATCATCTAGATGATTAAAAAACTAAACCATGTCTTTCCGAAAAAATGGAAATCAATGTATTTTATGTTTTAAAGTACAAAGTTGTATTCTTTAAATAGTGATCCTTGATAAAAATAACTTTCTGATTCTTAAGATACATCTGATATGGAGCAAATTTGTCAGTCTCATTCTCGATTGACCAAAAAAGCCGTATTTAGTGTTTTAAATTAATTTTACTTGTCTAATGTTTTTCCTTATGAATAGTTACTAATCGATCACACCTCAAATCAATTCAAAAAATCGATTTCAAATTCACACAAACGTTTTTCCTCCGATATGCTTAAATCTTTACATTGACCACACCCCCAGAATCTTGGTTAAATACTATAATTTTAAGCATGTAATTTATTCTGCTGAATTGATGAAATCATCTTGGCTGTAGCCTAATTCATCTCGTAGTTGTTTCTATGTATTGTCAGTCAGGTAAAACACAGAAGTTGGTACATACGTACATCAGTTCTAGTTGCCTTACCACATTGGCACAGAAATTAGATTTTTAATTCAAATCCCATATTAGTGGAGGTAGTAGAAGTACTAGCGGTAATAAAAAAGATTTGTGCTTGAAGAAATTATTCAAGAAGTCTAATCCAGTGAAATAGATTTGAAAAGAGATAAAAAATGGTCATGAGAGAAGACAATGTGTGGATGCACATGCGCCATTGCAAACGATTTTGAGCCATGTTATTCAAAGTCTCTAACCATCGGTTACTATTGTCTCGCGGATCCCAACCAGATAATCTACACCTACTAACATGGCTCTGTCCAGTTGCCAATGACTTTATGAATTTGTGCCACTTTTTGGTTTGACTACCACTACACCAGACAACATTGGTCTAGGCAGCCAGTAATTGGGCATACGTAACGCATTAACCTTATACAAGCTCTCTACTCTAATATCAATGTTCGAGTTAGAGCTTATGGCGAACTGTCTTCGGAATTGGTTACTTCAATTGGTGTCCGTCAGGGATGTCCACTTTCTCCATTCTTATTTAACTTTATCTTAGACATGTCCTAACCACCCCAACTGATGAACATTCATTTTTTCGTCAATTGATCTGCCACTCTGTCGAAGTATCCGTTTTCTAACATCAGCATTGTTTACTCGATGTTCGAAGGATATACGAGCAATACTTTCAAGACACCTGTGATCTAATACTAGTAACCTACGCATATTCTGTAATCTTACTGGCCATGTTTTACAGCCATAAAGTAGGACGGAGTGAACTGCTGCTCAGTAGGCTCGTCCTTTGTCTAATAGACGGATATCTCACCTACTTCATAAGTGATAAGTTGGCAAAAACCAATCGAGCGTTCGGTATCTGTGCGGATATTTTGTCAGACACCAGATCAAAAGGGTGGATGAGACTTTTGCGATAATGAAAGCGGTGAACATGCTCAACTACTTTATTTTATGTGTCCATGTAAGATAATCCTGAAGCAACATTTTGCTTGTCGAGAGGGAAAGTGGCGTCTCTAATATGTTTGCATTGTTGCTTATGGTATTCAATATATATATATATATATATATATATATATATATATATATATATGCTGATTTCATTTATTCTGTTAATAACTTATTTTATTTTTGATATAGGGTCGCGAGGCATTGAACTGGGTTATTGATCATCGCCTTCCAATTATCCGTTCATCCATCGGGAATCGTGATCCTTGTAATTCCTCTTCCGTTAATGCGCATGAACAACTTAATACATCGGTACCGTCTTATGTACCTCCATTGTCTAGCGCAAACGTTCAAATTATGCATTCACCTTCTCAGAGCTTCGAACAAATTACAGTGAGACCACCGACTCTGTCATCATCATCGAATCAGAAGTCTTCCAGTTCGTCATTTTTTGCTGACATTTCTAGACATAATCCTCTTGGTTCACAGTCTTCCAAAGATATCGTTACTCACTCCCAAAACGATTCCTTGGAATCAACATTGGAGACAATTTCTCGTGATGTAACATCTATTACTGACACCATAGTTAGACGTTCTCAACGAGTAGCACATCTTTTCTCCAGAGTTGATGAATACGTAGTTATTTTGTAAATTATATGTCAAGCCGTCTTTCATATATTCCCAAATTTTTTTCACTTCCGCCTTACAACCGTTTTTTATGGAATAAAAACACTATTACTCCTGTCCACACTTTTAAAACACAACACTGTAACTGACTTAGTTTATACTTTTCTAATATAACCATGTATGGCATGATTTCTTGTTTTGTGAATAAAACGATTTGTATTCGCGAAATTCGCGTTGTTTTTTCCTACGTACATATTGAAAATTGAGCTGGAGAACATCTACAATCGGATCGACAACGTCTTTGATGCCATAAAATTCACAATGGAAAAGGAATCAAGCAATAATCTATCGTTTCTGAATGTACTAATAACCAGAACTGACAGGGAAACGGGAGACGAATATTTTGTAAGTCAACCCACACAATTCTCAACTACCGCAGCAATAACCTAAGAACTCAAAAAAAACTGCGTGCAAACGTTGTTCAAGAGAGCAATGAGATACTACAGCACACTTGAAGCGCAAAGAAACGAAGAAAAACATCTGATGACCATCTTCCAAAAGAACGACTACCCCCTCAATTTCATCAAAAAACATCAACTGAAATCGTCAACAGAAGCGAAGTCTTTACAAGAACCAATAAACGGATCATCCTACCAGACGTCAAAGACATATCGGAACTTACAGCACGACTACTGAGACCGATTGGAGTAGGTGTAGCACACAAAACAACAGAATCACTTCAATCAATCCTATGTAGACCAAAAGACAAAATGACAAAGGAAGTAAAACCAAATACCATTTACAAAATAAATTGCTCAGATTGTGAAAAACACTACATAGAACAAAGCGGATGTCCTTTTCAGCTTCGTTTACGTGAACACCAATAATCAGTCAAACGCCACGACATTTCTTTAATTATATCAGTACATATGGACATACGTTTGGTTGGAACAATGTGGAAATACCGAATAGGAGGAGCACAAAAAACACTATAGGATTTTTAGAAGCCTGGCACTCAGGTCAATCAGCAATCAACAAACACATCGACATTGACCCAATTTATCAACCGATCAGGAAAATCATAGGTGGCAGGATCAAGAAACAGATCAAAAGTAGGATACAATCAAAACAAAGGCGCAGGCAACGACAGGTTTAAGGTCAACAGCAACCAATCAAGATCGTGGTTAACAGAACAATCTACGGGTCAAACGTGGAGAAATTCGAATACTTCACTTCTATCTGAAGTTTGTATTGATGATGTTCAGAAGAACAATGAAATCTCTAAAATCAAAATATCCAGCTCAGAGAACGAAACACCACCACAATCATCCACCTTATCTACAAATCTCCATCATCTCAATGCATCTACTTCCTGAATAAAGTAGGAGAAAGTGTTGCTATAGGTTTTGCTAGATCCTTAGTCGTTACATCTTGACAGCATTTAGTTATTTGTGTTAGTCATTCAACAAGAAACCATAGATTCAGTTTTCATGCTATTTATCATGTGATTGTGTACCTGTAAAATTTAGGAAACTGGCGCTCCTAGAAGGATTCAGTCATACATCACCCGACTTAATGATGGCTTGAAAAATTGTTATTTTAGATGAAGACAGCTGGTAGTATTTTCTAAGGATGCTTAATGTCGACTTAAATTTTTGCATTTATCGACATTAGTATTTATATTATACATTTCTGGGATTAAACTATTACTCACAGATCTTTAGAAGAATTGATAGACATAGCTCTTTTAGCCGACATCAGTGACAACATTCACAGTTTTCTGAACTACGCGAGCTAAGAATTGCATGCGCTGTTATACATTTTACACCTGCTAAATTCAAATAGTTCAAGGCTGGTTTACACTGACGCGGTTTGAAAACAGTTTGTTAAATAACCATTTTACTGATATAAGGAGTCACGTCAGTTTTGATAGACTAATTGGCGAATAATTCACAATATAGACATAAAAGGGCCGTTTGAAAGAAATACAAACACATCATCGTTTGGAACTTGATTAGTGGAAAAAAGTTAGGCAAGATTGATAAGAAATTAATTTGTGCATCTAATTGTCTGGTAGTACGATACAAAATAACTAAACCACACATCTTGATTCATGAGAAGTCGGAGAATATTTTTCTTTCCGGTTGGTGAAATTTCCTCTTTACTTAATTCCTTTGTGTATTTCTTTGTACATAGAAAATTAGGTTCCATCATAACTTCATCAGTTTAGTGTTCACGATCCTTTTGAAACTAAAATTTGTCAACAAAATAAATGATTGTTTAAGGTAAATAAACTCCAGTTGTCACTAATATAAAATGACTCACTGATTCGTTTTCTGAATTTAGAAGTGTTACGGTCATCATTTGGATTTTTCTTGTCTCTAAATTCAACAGTAAGCACATATCAATTGTGTCCACCAGTATTTCACTAAATTTACCATACACTAGTATTTTATGTTCAAATAACAGTTTCACCATAAGGTATTTGAAAAATTCATTGACAAGTGACCTTCTACTGTTCATGAAAAATATACATTTACCTAGTTTATTTATTGTGATTAATTATGTTAAATGTAGTTGTAGGTTTATAGACAGTGTAGACGATCTAACCTAAATGGGTAAGATTAAATTGTGTACTATCATCTTAGGCCGTCCGATTAGGTCAATAGTGGAAGGTATAGAAAAATATATATGAACGATATGATTTTACATCATTATTCTAGACTAAGAACGTACGTTTTTTGACTATTGCAGTTGGATGAATGAAATTTGTTTCAGTAATGCAATCGTATTTAGTTTCAGAGGACATCGGACAAACATTGAGCAACTCCTATTGCAGTGAATGAGAACACAGGTGGGGCAACCGAATTGTATTTAACGAAAATTACAGAGTTACTCAGTAAAATCGGAAAACCATATCGTAAATCGTTAATTTGCAAAATATCAGTTCATCCTATGGAACTGGACTGTTCCTGTTGCCAAACATCAATCCATTGTCACTATTCATGCGTTTCATACAAATTCCATTGTTTTCTAACTCTTCCTTTCTTGATCTTCCCCCCATATTATGCTACCAGACTTTACGTTGACACTCACGTTATATACTACTTATAAGTAGTTCGCACCACACTATTACCATTTATTATTGTCTTTTTCCCGAGTAGTTTTGATATAATAAACCAGATATTCGTAGTCCGTTTTTAATATACAGTAAATCATCATTCAGTTACCACTTCAATGATAACTTTTATCTCCGAATACATAATCGTGCCTTTTGTCAGTCAACTCTAATTTTGACTGAATTCGAAAAGCTCGTTCATATTTTGCATCTTTCTGAATCATACGGTTCATATATGTACTATCTTACCAGACTGGATAGTTTTATCATGATTACGTTGTGAGAATTCTGCTGAATTATTTACCTCCAAGCTGCATGAATAAATTTCCTGCACTTCTTAATGCATGTTTTACTGATTGAAACACGGAGAAATGACTTATTACCTAATCCTAATTCAGACAAAATAGCTCTCCAGCAAACCTGAATTTTTTTACTGTTCCCTAGCTGAAGTCATAGCACGATGACAACTATCTCAGGCGTGATTGCTCAGTAATGTTTTGTTTCTATGCTTCTAATATGTAATATAAAATTATGAATAATATACTAAACTTACCAGGTGCTGAATTCATTTGTAGTAGTTGACACCCAACAGGTTCTAGCGGACGTAAGTTAACTAATAATTTTTCATCTTTCTAAAATCAAAAATAATATTTCATATATTTAACTGTCTTTAACATCTGAGGCTGTTAACTGATTTTAATTAGACACTTAATTCATAACGACTGACTTTATTATGAAACAGACGTTCGGATTCCTTAGAAAGTGTTAGGATATTCACCCAATATCCTAAGAGGACTATTGGTCTCTTCCTACTGGTCAATTTTATGGCCGTCCTAGATATCACTGCCACGTGCCCCAATGTTGTTTCTTATTGGTTGTCCTGACTATCAGTGTCACTTCAAATGCTACTTTCTATTGGTCGTCTTAACTGTCAATTCACAGACTTCGATGCTGTTTCCTATTCGACTAAAATGAAACGTGTAACGTTTTATGACCAGGACCAGGACGCGGTCCGGGATCCTGATTCTCTTTTGGATTCGGACCTCATACTTTCTGGATGCTTGTAGGATACAGGTTCTGCTTCATATCAAGTCTTCTTATTTTTACTCAATATGGGGGTTGGGATAATTGGATTTGAGTAGCATGTCGTATCACCGGATCCTCGCTCTCGTATTCCGCCTATGGTATACTCGTAATAGTTCAAGTTTGTCAAGTTGACGTTTACGTGCAGACGTAACAGAAAGTAGCACTATTGTCTAAATTAGTGTGTATATCTCTTAAGTAGTTAAAGTTATCAATGATAGACGAAACATTCTAAGAAGATGGTGTGATTAATTCTCAACCGTCAATATCTAGTTTATAAGCTTAGTAAACTAATCATTCACTAATAGCGCATATGATTAAAAGAATTCTATAATGAGCAGTTCAAGGAGAGGCAAAATAAGGTTTGAAACGAAACAAATGTTCCTGGACCGGTGTATATAATTCACTTATCTAAAAATTACCTTAATTAACAGTAATATGAATAAAGCTATGTACATATAAACCTAGATTCTTATTGAACTTCACTTCATTTTTCCTATTGACCGTTAAATATGTTCTAATTCAATTGTTTGGTTTGTTTACTATGAAAACTTCGCGCTTATTATCGCCATAGTGTTCAATGTTAACTCAGTCACTGACATGTATAGCTCAGCTTATATATATATATAATCATTAAAACTTACCAGTCTATTTGATTTATTATTTCTGGATTTTATTTGAGCACAGTTTTTGATCGAATCAAACTGAGACATGTATCGCATTACCTCCTAGTATTTAAAAAAAAGAACATGGATCTTCACATCATTTTATCACAATGAAAATGTCAACTAAGTATATTAAACTTCCCTAAAATTTCAACAACATACATAATGAAAGTTTTAAATTATTTTAAAATGACCAGTTATTAGTGTATTTCAATTAAATAAACAGTAGTTTAATACTTAAGGTATTTAGCTCCAAGTCATTAGGTTTCAAGTCCGAACCCTGTTCTATATATTTGAACACTATATATAGCTCAAGGTCGAGCACAACATAAATCAAATGATCAATATTAAATCATCTTGATATAGACATCATTTCAAATTTAATATTACAATTAGATGAGGGTATATAATTGACCTTCACATTGTATACCTTGTCACAATTATAATTCTCATGATTATTGGTTATTAGATTGGGTGATGATATAATAATATTAAGAAATGACAAACTTAAAATGGTAGAGGATATTTCTAATTGGCATAAATCTAATTACAACCTTTAAAATAATTTACATTTTACGAATTCTATTGAAATAACCTTAGTTGTTAGGATAGTTAACATAGTTCCTATTATAAAATCTAACTTAGAATCCCAGGATAACTTTAGAAAGTATTTTATATCAAACTCATGTGCTTATTACCATGGTAACTACACATTTTTTTTACAGAACCTGTAGAAATATTCAACTATATATATCTAAATAACTAAATTCTTAGTTTTACTTTTATGCAAACTGTAAATCATCTCTCGAATATTTTTGGAAATCTTAAATATTCATATTTCAAATCAACTACACACTACTGTCACGTTACCACATTTAGTTCGGATCAGCTGATAATGGTAAACATTTCACACTTCAGATCTATACGAATTTTTTATTGATTATTTACATAGTGAATAATTGGAAATGATGTAACATTACTAACTTTTGAATCATCTGTTTGTGATCATCCATAAAAATAAAAGTACAATTTGCATGTGTAAATCAACTTGGATAGATATTTCTAACAAATTATTTCTGAGTTATATTATTAATTTGTTTTGTTATTGTACAAGTTTGTCATTTCTTGTATACTCCACAACCAAAACAACCAGCTCAGAGAACGAAACACCACCACAATCATTCACCTGAGCTACAAGTTCTCTCCACCATCTCAATACCGAATTCAATATCATCAGGTATGGAATTTTGTAAAAGTTTGCGAATGTTATGAACATTACAGGCTAATCTAAGTTACACAAGCATTGAGGATGAAAAAGCACTGGAAAGCTATTTCATCCAACTATGAGACTTATTGTGACTGCATTGGAGATTGGATCTAGGATCTTTCTGTCTCGTCACAGATGAATTATAAAACTATGAAATCTGGTTATATTTTATAATTTCAATCGATTATCTTGAAGGAAACATAGTTTCTCAAGTTATTCGAAATAAGTCGATAAGTCATTTCGGGAGGTAGGTTGGTGTTGAATTTTATTCCAATAAAAAAAGTAACTCAATAATTAATCTGTCAATAGTTGACTTTTGGGGCAGAGTTTTGGAGGTTTGTATTTTTTTTTTACACATTTGAAATCATCAATCAATCATTGTAAGACCACCATCAAAAAACGTAGAAGCACTGGACGGCCGTTTCGTTCTGGTATGGGATTGACTCATCAATGACAGTGCGCATCCACGACTCCTGCTCGTCGCAGGAGTCGAACCCGGGGCCTTCGGTATTGTGCGCGAACGCCTATTCATCGGACCATTGGGCCGGCATCTAGCGGTGTTAATGTCTAACTCTGATTGATCTAAGGATTTTCCGCGACCTCACCCATTTGTCTTTGGTAGTGGATGCGCACTGCTGATGAGTCCCATACCAGGACGAAACAGCCGTCCAGTGTTTCCAGGTTTCTAATGGTGATCTTACAATGATTGATTGATGATTTCAAATGCGTAAAAAATATTTGACATCGATGACTGTTGGCTTATCTCATTTTTACTGTCTAGTCACATGCATTATGTCAAATAATTTTTTGAAGAAATTGAATACATTACAAAAGTTTACAATTATAAACATTTAAGTCTTATAACTTGATAATCTCAGTGACCTTGATCAGATAGCCTGTGTTGACAAGTTAATAAGGAATATTTAACGTGTATGTACCAATGTTATCTCATTCCTGTTTTAAATTCGTCATAAAGTGCCTAATGATTTTTTTGTTACTTTGTATCAATTAGTATCGTTCAATGGCTAGGTGATTTAGCTTAACCTTTGAACTGGTGAATAATTCTAGTCTTTGCAGTCATTCTGTCTAAAGGTCAAGGTAAATCACAATGATATTTAACACCTTGTTCGATTATAGAAACGTAGCTGGATATGGTATGGTAGATCTTTAAAAAATCATAACCTATCAAAAGGAAAACAATGAACAATAGACATATCATAGTAATCCATCATTATACTCTGAAATTTGATTAAGATATGATTCTGAACTTGATCGTCATCTCTCCATTAGTTGCATTGGTTTCAGATGCATAACATGAATTGCACTACAAATGACACTTGGTCATTATTATTATACATTTAAAATCATCAATCAATCATTGTTAGAACACCATTATAAACCAAAATATCGTAACAGTGCTCTCTAGTCACTAGCTTCGTGAGGAAATTCTCGGAGTTCTAGTTGAGAAGAAGTGACCAATGCAGTTCAACCCTGTCGGGTGTAGGCAGTAACTACCAAAGACAAATGGGTGAGGTCGCGGAAAATCCCTAGATCAATCAGAGTTAGACATTAACACAGATGGATGCCGGCCCAATGGTCCGATGGTTAGGAGTTCGCGCACAACACCGAAGGTCCCGGGTTCGAATCCTGCGAGGAGCAGGAGTCGTGGATGCGCACTGCCATTGATGAGTCAATCCCATACCAGGACGAAACGGCCGTCTTTCAGTGCTTCCAGGTTTCTAATGGTGGTCAAACAATGATTGATTGATGATTTCAAATGTGTAAAAACATAAACCTCCAAAACTCTGCCCGAAAATATTAATATTATCATTTTTATTATAATCCTAACCAGTAACAAGGTAATGCCTCAAGTTCACTCAAAATGAATAAGTGATATTAAATGTAAACGATATTAATGTAAGCAGAAGTCAACAATAAAAAGTTAGTCTTTTTCTTGAAATTTCATATAACCAGTTGAAATTCAAATTCAAAATTTTACATTATCCTGTTTATCACTTCGTAATTATTCATAATTTTAACTTTGTATGATAATCTGTTGATAAAAATTTTTAAATCGATTCTTGGAATTGATAAAGCTTACTGATGCAACTCTGTGACCTGATGCAAGTCAACATATTCGGTTTTTAATTGAACATTCTGACAAACAATTCATAAATAACTAATAAAATGGGAGTGAAGCTGTGTGTGTGATTTGATGGCTAAAAGTTAACAGTTAATTATTGGCTCATCACAATAGAATCACATGAACTTACATTGTCTATTTCGTTTTCCAGAAATATTTTCTCTATATTACTTCCATAGTTTTCATTGGGATTTTGATTGCTACTAAGTTTTCCAGTACGAACATCACAATTTGTATTGGGCATTTTTGAACCCTGTAATAAGAAACAAATAAAGAAAATAATAAGACTAATCTTTAATATAATTTGTTATTTTTTTCATGATTGAAAAATCAATTAACTGTGCTATGCAATCACATATACTCCCTAATGATTTACTTCGAAATAAATCTCATAATTTTGGTAAGAAACCATGACTGACAGAATTTAGTACTGTTAGGACTGGATCTAATATCACAGATTTATCACAGAATTTATTGATTTGGATATATGAACATGGGTATTGACCCGGTGCTTTGAAAGTTCAAGGCTCAATTCCTGGTAAAGTTATAGGCACGGAAATATAAGGAGTTGTACTTGTTGGTAGCTATCTTAGTAACATTAATTTCTGATGTAAACTACACTGAGTGTTCTCTGTTTGGCTGTCATATTAATTTTTATAATCAATAATACACTTTATGTATTGATTTTTGTCAATCGATTCAATTTTAATGAAAAATAATATAATAATAATAATGATAAAATAAACGCAATTAGTTTGATTTAAAAATCTACTTCATACAGATAATCTAATTTTCAATAATTCATCTTCTTCAATAAACTGTTATTCCATATTTCTAAAATTGTTTTTTTGTTGAATTATCTACTAACCACCATATGTTCAATGCACTTAATTACTTACTTACTTACTTACGCCTGTTACCCCCAATGGAGCATAGGCCGCTCACCAGTTTTCTCCAACCAACTCTGTCCTGAGCTTCCCTCTCCAGTTCTGTCCAATGTTTGTTCATTCCTCTCATATCTTTCTCTATTTCTCGGCGTAGTGTGTTCCTTGGCCTTCCTCTTTTCCTTTTGCCTTGAGGGTTCCATGTGAGGGCTTGTCTCGTGACGCAGTTAGGTGCTTCTCGTAGTGTGTGTCCTATCCACTTCCACCGCTTCTTCCTGATTTCCTCTTCCACTGGAATCTGACTTGTTCTCTCCCACAGTTCGTTGTTGCTAATGGTGTCTGGCCAACGAATACGAAGTATTTTGCGTAGACAACCGTTAATAAATACTTGTATCTTCTGGATGATGGCTTTCGTAGTTCTCGAAGTTTCCGCTCCATACAGTAGAATTGTCTTGACATTTGTATTGAAAATCCTGATTTTGGTTTTGGTTGAAAGTTGTTTTGAGTTCCAGATATTTTTCAACTGTAGAAATGCAGCCCTCGCTTTGCCAATCCGCGTCCTCACATCTGCATCGGATCCACCTGTTCAATGCACTAGTTCATAATTAATGACTGAAATCCTGTTTTAGGCTGTGATCAATGAGCATGGGCATTTCACTACACTTAGTCAACTAGCATATTCATCAATAAAGTTGAATGAATAATGATCATTAACAACTCAATTCTTCCAGAACAATAACATTATCTATCTATTAGTGTGACTTATTTAGCACTTCACTTAATTATCATATAATGAGGTAATTCATTCTGTTCTGTTTATTTTTTCTTTACATTGTGTAGATTATTGATTTTTCGCTTTTCGTTACATGTTTTCTCTTATCATACATAGGGTTGGAAGATCATAATTGAAAATGAAAGATGATGAATGAATGAATAAATAATAAATACAGCAAGGATGTTTTCTTGTCTTGTTATCCATGTATTTTACAAAAAAACCCTACTAGAACAAGGTATATAAACGAACGATACCGTTTTTTGTTTTAATTAGATCTTTATCATATCTGACGATACATTTATATTTCTTATAAGCATATATGTAATGAATAAATACACCAATCAAGACAATCGATTAGTCAGAGATAATAGTGGAATAAAGAGGAACAAATTGACAAAAATTATAAAGGCTTAAACCGATGCTACATAATAAGAAATAATATACGCGTGAAATTACAGTCTAACCTAGTAAGTCGTTATCATTTTTCAAACTGTTTCTATATGATAAGTGAGTATACAATTTCAGTGCTTCTAATTATTGATTCATGTAACAATCTAGTACAATTTATTTGAGTATTTTGTCAACTTATCTAAGTAAACATGAATTTTATCATTTTCTAACACTATAAACCTTATCAGTAGTACCCATTGATAGTTAGGACACAAATTAATGAGTTTCATTCGGCTGGCATATTCAGCTGATGAGTCCCAAGTAAGATGAAACGCATGTCTTGGATTTCACTGCTAGCCATTATTCAATCTCTGTTTATAATTCTACAACATGATTTATCATGATAACTATTGTAAATCAATATCTATTTCATCTATAAAACTATCATTTTTAGTAATTAGTTGCAAGTAACGACAGGTAACTTCAAAGTATTTTGAAAAAAAAAACAGTAAAAACTTTATTAATATGTGATTTACAAATAAGTACGCCAGTTTATTTTGTTTTCTATGTGTTTAGATATTATAATAAAAAGTCGGCCACATTGCATAGTTTTTCTATTTTATTATAATTTTTTTATTTCAATAAAATATGTGGTCAATTTTAATTAATTCAATGTATTTATAAGAATACTGAAATAATATAGACCAATGCTATTCTGAATTTTCAACTACTTATGTTTGTGAACACATATATTGAATATTTTCGATATCAGCCTATCAAAGTTCGTTGGTTGACTGATTTCGAAATATCTGTAACAGTTACCTAGTACATAATTCTTCAATACATTATATAATAGAATGTTTTCAGTATTGTATTTGGCCTATATTTATATATAAAAGCTAATTAGTGTAAATTCTAGTGCATTCCATGCATTAAAAGAATATTTGCGTGTATTTTCTTCAAACTAATCCTATGACTAACATATGATGGGTATTATTTAATCACTAATGTGCAATTCCTAAAGTGTATCGTAAACTCTGTACCATACATTATATAGGAATGTTAATCACATTAAGATAGATTATTTAAAATAAGAGAGATGTTTATGAGAAGCAAGCAAGATTCACTAAACAACAATAATATTGATTGTGATCGTATGTAAATTTAGTTCTTAAGCGATGCTTCGTATAGGAATTCTCTGAATTAATCCTAAGTAATTAAAACTAACGTCATTAAGTAAATATTATGATTATGTGTAATAAACATTAAAGAAACAGCAATCATGAACTTTTCCAATTAGTCGATAAGTGGGTAGTGACCAATGTCATTACAAATGTCAAGTTCTTCTTAGTGCTGATTGAATTCTATCGATCAGAGGTGGTCAATTGACGTCAAATCGAAGATATTAATACAATGAATTTAATTTGTTTAAAATACTTATTGATTATAGCACCTTATTATACCTTCAGATTAATATTTCCGGTATTTTATAGTTTATTTGTCTGAAATGATTATTATCAATCATCACTTTAGCTTGCATCTGTATATGAGATAAAAGTCAGTGGTTGGACTAGTGTCAGTCAGCTATGAACATCATAGCAGTTTACATAAATTCGTACGGATTCAAGTTACCTCGGGTTACAATAGCACCGAGTAATAGGACTACAAAAATAAGATCCAGATTTGAACCTAATATGGGCTAACCCACCAAACTGACTACTTGAATGACAAGGCAAGAGTGAAAGAGAGAGTCGATTTGGTTACATACACAGCCTTTCTATTTAGAAAATAAACCGACTTTTTGACCAGTGATATGCATTCGTCCATTAAGACATTTTTGATGTTCATCAAATGACCTTTTCATCCAGAGACTTTTGATTGCCTCTCTATGTTGATCAGATGTTGTAGTAAGCTAAGCATTTAAAACATTGAATAAAGCAGGAAAGCTCTAAATTAAGGGGAAATAAGGCATAAATCCATCTTCGCTCAATTATGAGACAAATCACGTGGGTCCCCCTGTCATAGATTACTAGTATCTCGGGAACCTTGGTCAAATTTTAAGGCCTTAATACACTCCAATGAGCATGAATGACAGGTTCCAACCACATTATTCAGTATTAGTAACTACAATATGTAAATTTTTTCCATCATACTGATCTGACGGTGATTCACACTCAAATGAACATATTAGATTTTAATCTAATCCAAATATTTTAATGAGAATACTATTTGTCAGTTTGCTGTTTTTATTGACTTAAATTCACATGTCAAATTGACAGAAATTTTTTTATGTCTCCTTATAAAATGAAGACTTTATGAATCTCTTTTGTCGAGTTAATATTATTGGCTTAATCTTCCTTAAGTAAGCATCCCAGTCCCAAACGTTCCATATTTAACGGAAAACGTGTGCCTACTTATATTTAGCGAGTAGTACAAATAATCTAAGTAATTCACGTAGTTTAAATTTTCCTATTCCGCTCATTTACTTAACAATGTTTTTGCATGTACGGAAATAAACCTTAGTACGAACTTGTTCCCTGATCTATAAAATTCAATTTGCATAATACTCGTCATCAGACAAAAATCATGATAATTTTAATCTTATCTCTTTACATAATATCTAAGACAATAATGTATAAAACAATTGTTCAGAAGAAAAGTTGAATAGACACCAAAAAATGGAATTCACTTTGTGTCATATTGTCTCCATATCTGACCAATGGTAGCTTCGAACAACTGTCTAGCATTGGTTAGAACTGAGAAGTGAAAATTTTCAAATTATGTAGAGATTTTTTTACGTAGGAAAAGTAAATTGCTTAACAAAATTATACTGAGTTTACTGTAGAAACAATTATCATTTAAATCTACAGTTAGTTGTTATATTATACTGAAAAAAATGTTCAACTAGTTGGGCTATGATTAATTTGTACGTTGAATTGTGAGCTTGTCGTCAATCAAACATTCTCTTTCACTCTCAATATTTCACGATTTTCCGTCATATCATTGAAACTTCCTAACATCAGATAAACTTACTTGTCATTTTGTTCCCATGTAAGTTTTCAATGAAAAGCATTTCCACAGAATTTAAACTAGGAAATTCTCGCCAAACTGTTTGACTAAGTTTAAATAAAATAGGCAGTTCATTTTTTTACTTACCAGCTGTATGTCTTTACTACTTCTACTATTCAGTAGATTGTCAAACCATGATGTTGTATAAAGAGGTGATTTTTGATATGAATAATAATAGTAATGATAACAATAATAATAATAGTAATAATAACAACAATGATAATGATTCTCATAAGTGTAACAAATATTCTTTTCTACATCTTTCCTATTATTCGCTGATTTATTGAAATCAATAAAACTATTGGAATGTAGATTATCACATGTGGATAAATTAATAATTCCCCATTTGGATTTTGTTCTAGACTGTTTATAATCAACTTTGTGTAGTTTAGCTCGTTGAATTGTCTTACTAATAGTTTGAATATTGATAGAGATTGTTGTATTCAAAGGATTTGATGATTTTGTATGAAGTGTATTGTTTTTTTTGGTAGGAATATTTGTATTGTTGTGGTTATTAATGTCAATAATTCCATTGCTTAGAACAGGATTGTATTTTGTGAAATTTGGGAGTTTACCACATATTATCCTGCAAAATAAAGAAATAATATGAATTAGCATGAAAGTTCAATTCAGAAGTATAGATCCATTCATAAAATGAATAAACTTGTAATAGTTGTGTGATTTCAGTACAAAAGATCAGTTTGAAAATAATGTTTTTCATGGAGTTCAGTTAGCTCAGAGCTCAGAGAACAAAACACCGCCACAATCATCCACCTGAGCTACAAGTTTTCTCCACCATCTCAAAACTCGTCTCCTTCTAGCTTAAGATTCCTCATTAGTGAGCATACACGACCTTATTTCGCACTGAATATGATAAGTGGTAGATGTATGATCCATGATTCACTGGTTCACATTTCCTATCTCGCTTAATTCATAAGATTTCGTTATCATTAAACAACATCATTGGGTATTCCTATTTCACTTCGCATATCCTTTTAACTTTACTACTGAAGATTTTTTTATGGCGGATCATAAGATGCATATATTTTCCATAATTTCTTCTTGACCATGGATTAATTTTTGAAGTTTGGCTTCATCTGACAATAAGGACTGGTACGAACAAACTAATTAGAATTGATTAACCAACAAAATTATCAATCAGAGACGAATTGCGGCTAGCGATAGGGTTCAGAGTGCATATTCCTTCTTATTGGTGACTCGACGGTTGGCTTTAGATTCATTCCGATGCTGATGCTCACCCTGGAACTCAAGTCCAGAAACCTTCGCTTTAAACTCCAACGCATTATCCAATTGACTACCAATTTCAGTTAGCCACTGACTGGTGCAACAAGCGTGAATTATAACGAACTCATTTGCATGAATTCGAATCTTCGCATTGCGAAGTGTAATTGTTGAAATTTAGTCTGTCTTGAAATTACTGCTTTCTGGCTAAATAGCCTCGGTGTTGTAATCAGACGAAAGCATTACTAGCCATTACTGTAATTTTGAAAACTTTAAAAGCATTCAAACTCTTCTTTATCATAAATGACGTAGTTATAATTTCATACAAGAATGAATTAGTTCTTTTTTTTCATTTGTTTCAAATTCTTATAAAGATTCCTAGCTGGTATAAGCATGTCTCATTATTGCTAATATCATTCACAAAATATATCTATTCCTCGTCGCAACATAAAATTCAATTTTGTTTCATAAGATTTATGCTCTATCCAAAACACAACCACTGATTTCACATTCGATAGACAGTATGAGTATATTAGAATGTATCAATCGGTACGTACAAATTAGTCACTTATAAATCAACTTCTTTCTCTGACGATATAAAAAGTGGCTACAGATCATTTAAACAATACTCTATATATCGCTTTCGATTTCAGTCAAAAAGACACCATAAACTTGTTTTTAATCTTTTACAGTTCAAATCATTCACAATAATTTTTCGATCTATATATATATATATATATCGAACCTAAAAACTATCGATATCATCAGTCTGAACATACTCCCTGATATCATATTCGAGAAAATTTATTGATCAAACTCTTTAATACCAAATTTAAAAAAAATAACTATTAATCGATCAGCTTTGAACTATCTGCAAATTTTACTATGTTAATCAATAAAATTAGATTAGTCAAGCTATCTGATGTCATTGTGAAACTCTAATATTCAAAATATCGAATTTCTTAGTTCAATATTCAATAAGATATTTGTATTATGGACGGCGAGTCGACTTCAAAAACAACAAATAAAACGCTTACATCATTAAACAAATTTAAAACTTACGATAGAACTAAAATTGTTATACTATTACTATTACTACTATCATTATTATCATTAGTAATATCTTGCATTGAATTTGTACACATCGATTTCGCCATAATCAATAATTCATCATATGGACACATTGTATAATGAATTTGATTTAAATTCTCATTATGTATCAATATGGTATAACGTTCAGGACTACAATATGTACAATATTTTTGACAATGTCTAATATGCTTTGATATATTAACATTGAATTTATTCACTGATTGAATAGGATCAAATCTACGTTTCATTGTTTTGAATAGAAGAAATCGATTGCCAAGATTCACTAAACATAAAAATAGCATAATATAAAATTAATCGATAAACGTTCAAAAGAAATATGTTGTTCAATATGTGCTGTTGTTTTTTTTTCATCTAGTCTGAAATAAATAATCAAAGGTTAATTTCAAAGAATAAAATCGATCAGTTTTGAATTACATTAAAGCCGATTTTTGGTAGCAATAATAATATGAAGTTCAGTTAATATCATCATGTTATTGTGATAGATAGTATTGTTTGGTTTACTCTTGTCGGGTGTGAAGCAATTACCCACCAAAGACAATGGATGAGGTCGCAAAACTTAATGGACTGATTGAAGTTAAGCATTACCATCGGTGGATGTCGGCCTAGTGGTATACAGGTTAAGCGTTCACGCGCGAGACCGAAGGTTCTGGGCTCAGTTACCGCTTGCATGGTCGCGGATGTGCACTACTGGTTAGTTCCATGTTAGGATGAAACGGTCGTCCAATACTTCCAGGTTTCTAACTGTAGTCTAACATTAATCTATCCATGATTTAAATGCTTACTTAACATTCTGTTTCATGTTAATGGGAAGAAATTGCTTATAATTTTTTTTGGATTATACGAAGTATTCTAATCTGAGTTTATTTTGATTATTAGTTGTTTAGAAAGAAATGATTATTGGTGAAGTTATACTATATATTCCTGACTTGAAAAGTCTATTTTTCCTATCATATCTACTTTCAACTGAGTAATAATCTTCCTTAGTTTCCTACTACTAATTAAGTTGCCATAAAATGAATTTCAATAAATAGGTGATTTAGTGAAACAATTCAATAATTTTTAAAACATTTATTGAATAAAATTGTTTGAAATTTATTGTAATAGTAAATTTGAATAAGTTATTTGAAATTTATGAAAGTAAATTTGATCTTTGAAATCTTTTATCAGATAAAATTTTCATTTATTTTTCTGTTAGATGATCAATGTTATAATCAGTTAATTATTTGTTTAGTTTTAAAATAACAGAGCGCATTTTAAATTAACCGATACTTTTCCAGAATGATCTTGTTGTATCATCCGAAGTCTCTATAGTTACAAATGTATTTGTAAAAGTTTGATATTGTTTATATCATATAAAATAATTGAGTTGCTAGTGTAAAAAAAACTCATTGAACATACAATGTTTATTGATTAGAAGAATAGTATTAACTAGATAGTCTGAGATTTTATTATCCGTGAAATGCTAAATTCTTAGTTCTGACGAGTTGCAAACCAGGCCAAAAAACACTTCATTATTCATTGATTTTTTATGGTTCTTTAATTGATTGATTTGTAATAAATTTAATTTTGAAAATTTAAGAAATGTGTTCAACGTTGAACAGTGTAATGAAATCATTTCATCGATCAATTATTGATTAGTAGACGTTATCATGTTCATATGATCCTTTGCGTTGACTGATTTCTAACAATCAGATGAATAGTGATTTTGAATAGTTTAGACAATTTGGCTAGAATATAAGTTTTGATTTAACATCGTTGAATAGTTCGAACTAAACTGCACTTGCAGATAGACAGACAGACAGATACAACACAGAACTTCGTACATAAGTACATCAGTTCAGGTTGCCATACCACGTCAGCACAGAGACGTAACTGTCAGTTCGAATCCAAGAGTGATAGAGATAGTAGAATTAGTAGCAGCAATGGAGAAGTTTACGGAGGATTCGAAAAGGATATATAATTCAGTGAGATAAATTTAGAAGGAGAAAGATAGAGATTATGAGGAATTCAGAAGGTTAGAATTTCATAGAACAAAAAGAGTGGATGCACCTGCACCATTGCAAACGATTCTGAGCCATGTCGTTCAAGGTCTCTAACGATTGGTGACTTTCGTCTCGCGGACCCCAACCAGATAGCCTACATCTACCAACATGACTGCACTTGCAAAACAATGCTAAAGTAAAAAGAGGCTGAAAACTATGTCTATAGATGTAATCACCGTGTGACTTCTATAGTGATTTTATGTGTTTATCATTTTTCCGTTGTTATCTTAATAGTCTCCCCTGGTCCCTTACATTGTCCAGATATTTCATATACCTACACTAATTGTTGCTCTGGTTGTCATAAGGGACATTGTTACCGTGACTTCCAAAGAATCTAGGTTTACATGAATACCACGTCACACTCCCATGGAAGACTTTAGATAGTTTACATGGTTTTTACTCGTTAGTTTTTTCGTTGGTAGACTTCTTTTATAAGAAATGGGGTTTATAAATGCATGTCCAACCTACCTCCCTATTCTCTTCATGGGACCAACAATCACTCTAAGAGGGCTTCAAGCTTTCAACTAGTCACAATTGAAGTTTACGATGAATACATACATATTAATGATTCTCAAGTTCATTGTGTATTCGCTAATCCCAATATTTTAATATTTTAGCTGGAAGTTATCATTTCTAATAAAAATAATTATTTTCTTTTGATTTTATGAAATGTTAGACCATTATTGTTTTGTCCAGTGATTCATATCTATTCAAAATTGCATTCAACTACAAGTTACTACAAGAAAATAATTGAACCAATTAACTAAAAACAGCTAAGCTAAATTATATTTCAATCTGTTGCTATATTTAATAGTAATCAGGCTACACAGCAGATCACTTCGTGTCAAATTGTAGATGAACAACATATCCACTGAAGTTTGAGAACTTAAAAATATCTCTGCTAGTTTTTTCTAAATAAATTGTTAATTGACCAGAAGGCAGATTGAAAGTATAGTTTTAGGAAAGGAGGGTGATTAGTTGGCTAAGCTATGAAGTATAGACTAAAATTTTTGGATTCATACATAATAAAAGAAATAATGAACATTCACACATCCAAGTATATGATGCAAGTTAGTCTCATACATTCACAGTATGCAATTCGGATTCCAACTAATTTTTTAGACTCGGCCGTAGCTGCTACCTTGACGTGGTGGTCGGGCTTGCCTAACGTCATGACCCAACCGAGCTATACTGGCTGCAACATATGTTCCTGAAAGTTCTACAATGCCAGGCAGGTCGATTAGAGAACGATGAGACTAAAGGCAGCTACCCAAGGTCTGAGGGTGAAGTCGTACTGCTGACTGCAGAGGGGTGTGACAGCAGTAAGGTGTTCCCCTCGGACAACCAGCATCTGCAGCGATGCTGCCTTCTCACAAGGAAGGATATGTTAGAAAAGGTCGACCCTAAAAGTGTCACACCTCACCTTACCTCGCGGATTTCCGTCTCCGGTGGTAAGGGCTGCCCACTAAGGGCCTTTAAGAGCGGAGTTAATCCTCAAAAAACCTCTCATAAAAAGGCCGTGCATGACCGGCCTCAAGCAGTTGTCCCTTGGGCTCTGCGGTCACGCTCCCAGGTCGTTAAGACCAACACTAATCTATCTTCCTTTTCAGGTTCCTCAAGAAACAACCTTCCACGGTGTGGGCAGCCGGGAAGTGACAACCACCCTCATACCCGTAACAGCACACGAGACCAAATTGGTTTAAACCAAAAAATTTCTTAGAGATATAGGCTGTTTATAATTATCGGTCGCAAAACAGTAGCCCTTATTCCCTCCGTCTCATCCTTAAATCTAATGATGTAGATTTTATTTTTGGAAGATGTATCCGTTTCTACGGTGTTGCTGACAAGTATGCACCATTAAGTTTAGAGATTCCAGCTGACTATCTCCTAATACATAACATCAGACAAAATTTTTCCTTCAAGGGCGGGCCGATGAGCTTCTTTCGAACTTTCCATTCTTCATCTTTAGATTTCAGTCAATTCTGCAAACCAGACAACATTATATGCATTTGGAGACTTTGACTCTGGTATTATTTACTAGTCACTGATAGTTTTTTTTTGTATTCTATAACCAAGAAAAAAACTTTTTGTTCATCAAATCAAGAGAGTTGCTCTTGTCAAAAAAATTCGCACTTCAATTTTGAGCCATTGTTCTTAAGAGGTATTATTTAATTATTGACGTCTAATTTCTGATCTAAACTCTTACAATTTAAAAGATTGTATTCTATCTAATGTTGGTATCATTTCACCTCACATAATATTCAACAGGATCATTTGGAATTGGTTAAGGCATTCTAAGTTTTTTTAAAAAAAAAAGATGAATTTCGACTTAAATACAATTCTGTGGCTTACACACATTAAAATCTGAGCAGTAAATTAAACGAATTGATTTTACTGTTCATAAATTTACACGGTACTTCTCAACAAAGAAAGTGGGAAATTCAATCTAGGACAAAGTAGGCAACTTTCTTTAATTGCATATAGATCTCGTAGTGACGAATATAAAGCTTCTATGTTTAACTTGTAACAGTGCATACTGATTCATTCTTTGGTTTAAATAATTATATTATTTTCATTTAGAGTTGTGGTTCGAATCCTGCGAGGTGCGGGAGTCGTGGATGCTCACTGCCACTGATAAGTCCCATACCAGGACGAAACAGCTGTCCAGTGCTTCCAGGTTTTTAATGGTGGTCTAACAATGATTGAGTGATTGATTGATGATTTCAAATGTGTGAACAATTATAATTTTATAATAGCTTGTAATAATAATAATAATAATAATAGCAATTTAATTTTCACTTACCTTCAATACGAAAGACCATTTTTAAAGTGATTTGAAATTAATTATAAACTTTTGGTAGATTTAATCCTACCACATATTTATATATATATACATATATACATACATATACAACAGACATATTAATGGTGGGCATAATAAGAATGCGAGCTTACTGTTAAAAACAAAATAATGTTGAGAACCAATCCAGAAGTGTATTTGTATTTTATCTAATGAATGATTATTATTAATAATATTATTCTATCACAATCTTTTCATGTCTATAAGTGATTGACTCGAAATCTAGGGTTTCAGTCATGTTCACCAGGAGACTTTTACATCTCTTTTCTTTTCTTCACTAACAAGATGATAAATGTGAATTTTAGTGTATTATTATTCTGACTGCATGAAATATCACGTCGCTTGTTTGTGTGCATGCACGATACATATGTGCATACACGTGTCTATATATATATGTATATTATTTACATAAATATCTCTTCATATTTATGTGTATGTCTTAATTGATCATCTAATCGAATTACTACTCTGTACGAATGTCGACAGGTGCTTGAAACTCCCATTTAACTAACTAACTAACCAACTAACTGAGCTGATTTCATATAACCTACCAATTAATTATATGCTATGTGCTTAGTTTTTAATGTAGATTTTAAAAAAAATTATCAAATGTGCACTGTTTACGTGTTGTTGCATAGCAGGTAGGGTAGATAAGAAATTTTTTTTGTTGTTTCTCATTGCCATGTTGTTTGGCTTGTAGTTTGAATTATTGGTTTGGTCAAAAATGATGACATGACTATGCAATAGATATTATTCACATATATATATATATATACATATATATAATACACACACAACACAGGGATAGGAAGTATAGCGTTTGTTTGTTTTTTTTTTTTTTCGTAAGCCAAACTGTGTTTGATATTATCGTAGAGTACAATTTAAGTAATTCACAGTACATACAGACACACACACACAATCATGTATGATGTTTAACTAGTGTCCATAACACAGAGAAAACTAACTATCTTCTGTTCATAATTTCATTCCTTTCACTATTCCTACAAAAAAGATACATATATACATATCTATATCTAATTTGTAAGCATGTATAATGTGAATTCTCTATGAGAGACATTAAAATTATCAAAACAGTAAAGAGAATAAATGAAATATTCACTTCGTCATTATCGTCTGTACACACAGTGACTTTACACATTTGAAATCATCAGTCAATCAATCATTGTTAGACCACCATTAGAAGAAACCTGGAAGCACTGGACGGCCGTTTCGTTCTGGTATGGGACTCATCAGCGGTACGCATCCACCACTCCTGCACCCCGGAGGATTGGAACCCGGGACCTTCGGTATTGTGCGCGAACGCCTAACCATCGGACCACTGGGCCGGCATCCAACGGTGTTAATGTCTAACTCTAATTGATCTGCGGATTTTGCGCGACCTCACCCATTTGTCTTTGGTAGTTACTGCCTACACCCGACAGGGTTGAACTGCATTGGTCACTTCTTCTCAACTAGAACTCCAAGAATTTCCTCACGAAGCTAGTCACTAGTGAGCACTGTTACGTTATTTTCGGGCAGAGTTTTTGGAGGTTTGTGTTTCTACACATTTGAAATCATCAATCAATCATTGTTGTTAGACCACCATTAGAAGAAACCTGGAAACACTGGACAGCTGTTTCGTCCTGGTATGGGACTCATCAGTGGCAGTGCGCATCCATGACTCCTGCACCTCTCAGGATTCGAACCCAGGACCTTCGGTATTGTGCGCGAACGCCTAACGATATACGCTAAACACATCATCGATATACGTATTGCTAACGACAACAACAAGTTACAAATTCTCATTTTTATTTCATGCACAATAAAAAAAATAGCATCACTAGACAAACACATTCATACTCGATTAAGGATCATTCGGATTCAAAACGAGCAAACTATGATATGATGATGAATTGTGTGTGTTTTTAAACTGTTTTCATTGAAATTTAATTTGCATATAGTATTAGTGGTAGTACTACTAATAATATTATTATTATAGATGGTATAATTTTTGTTTTTAGTATTAATTGTCGAAGTGTACTTTTATTATCAATTGAGATAATGTGATAGATAATTGTGATAATGATATGAAGTTGTTGGGGTTTTGCTAACATGACATAGTGTTGATAAACAAAGTTGTAGAAAAAAAAGTACTAACTACAACATGAGACAAGAAAATTTATATCATGAAATGATATTTTAAACATGCAACATCAAGATAATCTGCACTCGATATATTACTTACTACTTACTTACGTACGCCTGCTACTCCCTAATGGAGCATAGGCTGCCCACCAGTTTTCTCCAACCAGCTCTGTCCTGGGCTTCCCTTTCTAGTTCTTTCCAGTTTTTTTGTTCATTCTTCTCATTTCTCGGAGCAATGTTTTCTTCGACATTACTATTTTCCCTTTACCTTGAAGGTTTCAAGAAAGGGCTCGTCTGGTGACGCAGTTGGGCGCTTTTCGCAGTGTGTCCTATATATATATATATGTCGGCTAAAAGAAGCTGATCCATTGCAGATATAAACAACCAGTAGAGAAAAGCTTTCATCATCAAATGACGTGTTCAGAAGTACCAATGAAGATCATAGATCATGTAATCATAGCATACTGATCATTGCATAATTATGAGTATCATTATCCATTTAATGAAACCTTATCTAAACTATTGTTAATGATGAATTATGTAGCGTGCCAAAAATATCACTCCACACTGGTAAGTCGCATAGTTGTCAATATTCATGTTACGATAGTTGGAAATATGAAAACCTAAACTAACTTTAAGATAATTCACTCAATTAACTAATCACATCATTATCAGTTTTTGCCGAATATCATTTGAGACACGTAAAATAAATTTATTAGCCTCAATACTTCTATTCATACCAACTATTTGGATATGTTTAAAGGATTCTGACTACAAAAAACAAATTGTTAAATTTATACAAACTACTTCTCATTTACAAGTGAATTATAAATATTCAGTAAAAAACAACAAACAAACTGTTAGCTAATGACTTCACAATAGTTATCACTGGTTATCGTTGGTCTTCAATTGTGAAAGTTTCGAGGTAACTCTTCTTCTATTTCATCTCAATCACATATTATGCTTATTCTAGATAAAGTTTTATTTTTAAGTTGAACATACATCATTTTTAATACCATTAAGCCTAGGTTCTATAAAAAGATAGACAGAAGAAGACAATATACCTTAAACTCCTTTTGTATCAAGATTCGGATTTCTTAGTATTTCGTACCGGTATGATTACGTATTCTGAAGAAGTCTCTAACTGTGCCAGCTTTTTAATAGCGTTTTACTCTTTATTTGCGTTGAATTTATCTAAAATTCTTAGTTTCCAATGGTCAGATCGTAATCAAGTAAAGTTACTATATCAATTTAATGCTTCTTCTATGGCAGTCAAGTAGCTTAACGTTTCGACATACTTCAGGAAAACAAGGGATCGGTGGTAAATTTCAAAATTTCAGTCTACTTCATACGATCTGAGGATTGTCAATAATCTTGACTCGATTTTAATCACTAATTGTTATAATATGTGGTTAAGATGATTTATTATCTTATATTTCCAATAAATCACTATTACAAAAATATTGATTACATCGAAACATATGAAATGGAAATGTACTTGGATAGATATTTGAGTAGAAACCAATATCATTTTTGTGTAGTCTTTGATGTTGATCAGTTTGTGTCAATCAGATTTTAACTTGACCTCCAGTCTAAGTGACTTGATTTACGGTACATGATTTTTGGGAATGGTTAGTTGGAAACTCTTTGTGATACATGTTCCTTATTATATGATACTCACTGTCAGTGTGAATCTGTGATGTGGGAGAAAGTAGCGCTTCCTATCAAATTAGACGTCAATCTAGGCATTTCATTATTTAAGGTGGTGTGAAATGCTCAGGAGTAGTGTCTTTGATTATGAGACTGAGTGATATAGATTCCAATCTGACAGAGACTATCAATCACTCAAAGATTGTAAGTGCTCTTTATCGATCAGCACCATCTATCACGACACTAGGATCCAAGGTTTCCTCTCCACTACTCTCGACCACCTAAAGGGAAATGAATTTCAAAGAAATCTATTCGAATCATATCTTCGCTCCCTAATCTTCTCCATTACTGCTAATAATTCTACTATTGCTATCACTCTTGGATTTGAACTGACAGCTGCGTCTCTGTGCTGACGTGGTATGGCAACCTGAACTGATGTATTTATGTACAAAGTCCTGTGTTGTATCTGTCTGTCTATTTATGGAAATAATGCAAAGAAAATTAAGTAATCAGATGAATAAAACTAGTTATGTAAGAATAAGATTAGATTCTCGAAAATCCAAGATGTATGAGAGCTAATAAATAGAAGCCTAGGACAAATTCAGTAGCTGGATAAACTTCTTTATAAACATAGATTAGGTCTATGGTGAGGATACAGTTTAAGAGATACAGTTGTCAACTGTATGCTTGTTAACTTTATTACTATGCTTGTCAGTTGGATGTTTATGACCGATCATTGCATAGACATAGAGTCACGAGAAAGTTTTGAATGAAAATGATAAGTAATCACCTGTTCATATCGTTATTCATTTCCATTTCATTACAGAGTAGAAGAAAACTGTTATAATTTCTTGTCTTTAACATTATTACTAATATCACTATGTATGTATATGTATATATGTATGTAATCTCATTAAATATTGACAAAAGAAAAAAGGAAATTGTACGACTCATACAAAAGAAAAAAACAACAACTAACTACGACACATCATCAAAATCATTCATGCAGAAATAAATTTTTCACTGTACAATTTTATCCAATGTGTATACTAACTACTACACATTTATGCCAATATATAGACATTGTGTATTTTCGATGTATGCTTTTTACAAAAGCCTTCATCAGTTGTAGACAAACACTCAACTGATATATATATATACTGATAGACAGATATATGTACATAAATGAACATGCTTCAACATAATAAAAAAG